ACAGCCCTGCTCCAAGCACGCAGCTCAAAGAGGACGCACCTCTAACCGTGGCAAACTAAGTCAACCCACTACTTGCAGAGATGCTCCCGTTCAGCTGAACGCTCCTGGAGGAAGTTTCGTACCTTGTCAGACTTTCTACACTATAAATTTGTCTTGCGTTCATACAGCGCAGCTCTCACTCTTGCTAAACAGTCCTACTTTTCTTCTCTAATTAGTTCATGCTCCTGCAACCATAGGCATCTCTGTAATACTTTTAACTCTCTTCCTAGCCCTGCTGTGGCTACTGAACAGGAGGTGGCTGCACTTGTCCTTTCCTCTCGTCCCACTACATGACTGCTTGATCCCATCCCGTACCACCTCTTGAGATCTCTCGCCCCATGTCGTGTCATTAATGCACATCAACTGCTCTCTTTAATCTTATGTTGTCCCAGCTCCCCTTACACATGCTACTGTTGTACCTGTCCTCAAAAAGGCATCTCTTAACACTACTTCCCTTTCAACGTCCCATATCCCCGCTCCCTTTCTCTTCAAAGCTTTTGGAAAGACTTGTCTTTACCCATCTGACTTGCTTCCTCAATTCCAACGCTCTCCTTAACCCTCTTCAGTCTGGATTCCATCTCCTCCACTCCACAGAGACTTCTCTGAGTAGAGTTACAAATGATCTAATTGCAGCTAAATCCAAAGGCCACTACTCCATACTAAATCTTCTTGACCTCTCTGCTGCCTTTGACACTGTTGATCATGGCCTCCTTCTCCTAACTCTTCAATCTCTGCTTGTCTCTGTGATACAGCCCTCTCATTGTTCTCCTCCTATCTCTCTCAACGCTCCTTCAGTGTCTCTTTTTCCAACGACACCTCCTCTCCTCATCCTGTCTCAATCGGAGTTCCTCAAGGTTCAGTTCTTGGTCCCCTATTGTTCTCTTTCTATACTGCCTCTCTTGGCAAACTCATTAATTCATTTGCATTCCACTATCACCTGTAAGCTGACAACACCAAGATATATCTCTCCTCCCCTGCCTCGCCCCTGCTGTCCTACGTGTCACCAATTGCCTTTCTTATATCTCTGATTCGATGTCCTCCTGCTTTCTGAAACTCAATCTCTCTAAAACTGTTTCTTATTTTTTCTCCTCATAACACTGGTCCTCCTCCTTCACTCTCCATGCAGATTGACGGTACCTGCCTCACCCCATCCTTTCAAGCTAGCTGTCTTGGTGTCACTTTTAATCCTGGCCTCACCTTTGCGCCTCATGTCCAATCTGTTGGTAAAACTTGTCGATTTCAGCTTAAAAACATTGTCCGCATACGTCCCTTTCTTACGCAAGATGCTGCCAAGGAGCTTTTTCATTCTCTAGTAATCTCTTGCATCAATTACTTTAATTCTCTCCTAATTGGTCTCCCCAGAAGTCGTACTGCCCCCTACAGTCTGTGTTGAATGCTGCTGCCAGGCTGATCTTTCTCTCCTGTCGCTCATCTCACACCTCACCCCTCTGTCGATCCTTACACTGGCTTCCTGTACCCTACAGATGTCAATTTAAAATACTAACCCTTAGCTATAAAGCTCTAACCAATTCTAGCCCCTCTTACATTTCTTCACTGATTCATAGATATGCCCCCTCTCGCTCTCTTTGCCCTACTGGTGACCTTCTCTTGTCTGCTGCTCGCACCCTTACTGCAAATTCACGCCTTCAAGACTTTTCACGGGTGGCTCCTTTCCTTTTAAACAGCCTTTCTACCCCTGTTAGACTCCCCCTAGTCTTCAATCCTTTAATTAGTCCCTCAAACCCATCTTTTTAGGAAAGCTTATGGCCTCCAAGAGTAACTCCTATCCCTCAAACCTTCCTCTCCTAAAGGGCCACACTCCACTCTTACCTCCAGTTCTGCTACTTTCCCACCACATCTATTTACTGTCTCCATCAACACCCTTCCTACTGTGTTTTTATAGTCCACCTCCTCTAGACCTCGTTTGAGCAGGGTCCTCAACTACCTATTGTTCCTGTTACACTTTGTTATTGTCTCATTTGGTAAATTCCCCTTTTATTGTAAAGCGCTGCGGAATAAGCTGGCGCTATATAAATACCAATAATAATAATCATTTTCACTTAAGTAAATAAACAGAGTAATCTTGTTCAGCTTGTAGTAAACCTTACTTTTCAGTCTTCTCCAAACTAATAAACGTAAAAGAAAAGTGTCATCAGGAAAAAAACCTGAGCTATTGTGTGTATCCTTTTTCATCTGTGCCATCATATGCATATACCTACAGGAGAGAGTAATGTAACTGATATTAAAGGCAGATATTTCTTTCTTGACATATGTTTGTTCTTTTGACAATTTCTCCTGCTGTGTAGCATAACAATTTTTTTTTTCCTCTCCTAACAGGTCTTTATAGTCTGTTTGATTACCCAGACTTTTGTGGTCTCTCAACACAGTCTGAGCTTGCAGTTGATGAGGTCTACCACCGTTCTGTCCTTGAGGTTGCAGAACATGGTGTTGCTGCTGTAGCTGCTTCCACTGTTTCTGTTGCCCGCACACTTAATACTTTTGAAGTTCGCAAACCATTTCTCTTTATGCTGGCCAGTGATATAACTGGAATACCCCTCTTCATAGGACATGTGAATGACCCAAGCAAGTGATCAGTACACAGAACATTTTCACTCACTAAACTCAAAAATTGAATGGCAAAATATAGGAAAAAAATATCTGATGTGTTAACATTCTCCAATTCAACTATAGTCATAGTGCAGATAATTCAGCCTAAATTCTGGCATTCAAATTTCAATTTGCTAGAGCTCAGAGTTTAGAGAATAAATGTCAGAGTTGTATTAAGTTACTGCTAAGCGCATTAAATGTCAGAACATAAACAATGCTATTAGTATCTAAATCAATAGTTTAAGTGATCTATAACAATAAAATACAATAGGCATGTGAGGAATAAAGGAACTAGGGCATGATGCTAATTTAATGTAAGTTTGTTTGTGTAATGGAATGTCAGTCTGACAGTATAACCAAAATTAAACCAGCACCACCCTTTTAGCGTTGTTATGGGAATGCATGAAATACTTTTCTGAATGCTTAAACTGTCTAATTTACATTGTTGCACATATTTGATTATTATAATTGTTGCAGACACAGGGCTTTTCATGTTGGTGTTTGTGTTTTCTTGATTTACCTACTCTTTTACTGAGGGATAAGGATAGTGCGACAGAGTTTACATTCTCTGCCAACAGGTAAGCAATCACTTGGGCCTGTGAGCCAATAGCATCGTTGTAAAGATTATGACAGGAGATGTCATGGCAGTGGAAGAGATAACTGGCCGAAAGAAGGAATAGGCAAAAGAATTGATTCCTGCCTGTAAGTAGAAGTAATCAGAAGGGACAATATCTGCCTATCCAGTGGGTAAAAACAAGAGTTTACTATAATGAATATTTGTGGTGGTTGTCCCTGGTGCCAAAGAAAGGAAAGGAAGACGGATAGGACACCCCTGTTCCCATTACAAATTGTGTTCATCAGTGGAATTTCCCCTTCCCAGGTCCAAAACATTAGTGGGATTGGACCTCCACCACGAGGTCTCACCCTGAGCTGTACTACGGTTTATGGAACTAAAGTATCACTGGCTTAAGAGAAACACACTAAAACAAATTCTCAAGTCCAGAGGAAGAGTGACCAGCAACAAAGTAAAGACTGTCATTGCAGACCTTATGAAGGGAGATCATGAGAGCAATAGTTCCATTACTTCTGCAGAGAGTGAGTTTACTAGGTGTTGGAGAATTAATTTGGCAGTTTTGGGACATTCATCCAGACTAGAGATATTTGAGCAGTTAGTGGATAAATTGAACAAAATACTATAGGCAGAAAAAGGAACTAGAGAAGAGAGGCTTGCAGATAATAAATGGGTCTATCGACTATTGTTGATGCAAAAAGATATGCTACCATACAATGCCTCTAAAGTATTTTCATAGACTGATACCAAAACACTGTGCCACAGACCACTGAAAAAAACAAACTTGGTTACCATTTTAGCCCAGCAAATACTCTGGACTGGCAGCAAAAGCATACTAGGCCGTACAAGATGACCATAAAAAAATAATAATTATATTTTAAGGTGCAGTTGTGTTACTTCAGAGGTGCTTTTTAGTGTAATTTAAATAGCAGCTCAACACACTTGTTGGGGTACCCTCTTCCACACACCACGATAAGCATACACCTACTAGTGATACATAATACATTTATACCTATGGTGGAGCGCTAAAGTGGAATATGAAAGGGGTAACTTACCCCACATATGTTGATATGTACAGAAGAATATATTCAGTACATTAAAAAAAGCAAACTATACTGCAGATAGTAATTATATATAAGCAATATATCTTTTAGATGTCAGGTCACTCACATGTGTGGAGCCTACGTATACTAGTTCCGTATACAGGGCTGTCATGTTTTTAGGGCAATATCACACCACTCCTTCATTAAGATGTTCCCCCCCCCCCGGTAAAAACAAAAGATAGAAAGGTCACCAGTGTTTAGTATATCCAATATAAAACCAGTGAAAGTATAAGGTAGGTATTGAGCTCACCTTTTTCAGAGCCTAAACTCCCGGCTCTACTGGTACAGTCAGGGCCGGCGCTTTCTATAGGCAACTTAGGCTCTATAGAGAGCATCGGGAGGCTGCAGCACTGCCTGAGCCGGCACGTCCATGAGGGCCCACCGGCCTGGGCGCGCAAGAAAAGAGGGATCAGCATGAGGGCAGCGCACTGCGCTCCCTGTCAGTCCCTCAGTGTAGCGAAGAGAGAAAGAGACTATGGAGGGGGGAGAGACCATGAAGGAGCAGGGGAGAGCTCTAAGGAACGGAAGGGAGAGCTCTAAGGTATAGGGGGTAGAGGAGAGCTCTAAGGTACAGGGGGTAGAGGAGAGCTCTAAGGGACAGGAGGGGAGAACTCTAAAAGACAGGAGGGGAGAGCACTACAGGAAAGGGGGCAGGGAGATCACTTTGGGGGAAGGGGGGCATGAGAGAGGAGAGACCAATAAGGGATGGGAGAGAAGAGACCAACAACGGACAGGGGAGAGCTCTAAGGGATTGGGGGCAGGAGAGAGCAATAAGTGACAGTGAGGCAAAATACAGCAGTAAGGGACAGGATGGGAGAGCAATAAGGGAAAGGGGCAGAGAGATCATTATGGGACAGTGGGGCAGGAAAGAGCACTAAAGGACAAGAGGGGAGAGCTCTAAGGGACAAGAGGGGAGAGAGGCTGAGGAAGGAAGGAAAGAGAAGCAAAAAGGGGCTGGTAGCACTCAGTCCCTATCCTACCCCTCAAACTCTCTATTTCACACTACACACACACACAATGCATCCCTATATATACACAGAAACACACCATGCGTCCCTTACACACAGAGAAACACACAATGCATCCATTACACACACACACAATGCACACATACACAGAAATACACAAACACTGCATTCCGTACACACAGAAACACACAATGCATCCCTTACACACACAGAAACACACACTGAAACACCATGCATCTCTTACACACACTCAATTCACCCCTTACATACAATGCACCCCTTGCAGACACACACACTGCATCCCTTACATACACAGAAACACACATTGCATCCCTTACACATACAAACACAGATTCACACAATGCATCCCTTAGACACATCCAGAAACACACAATACATCCTTTATACACAAACACACACTGCTTTCTATCCCTTACACAAAAACACACTGCATCACCTACACAAACTGGTATCCCTATACACTACATTCCATAAGCACACACTTTAGATCCTCTACAATAACACATAACACATCCCCTACACACTCCACTCCCTGTGAGTGAACTCATGGGTGGAACGTGTAGGTGGACTTATGGGTGGGCCTTATGGGCATACTAACCGTCAGGCCCTGGGGCCCAGACCTTGAGCTGTGTAAAGGGACCCAAAATAATGGAGCTGCTTCCCGTTCTCCCAGATCATTGACTTTTGTGACCACAGTTACCAACAGCCGCCAGAGAGCCGGTTCTACACCAGACCAGTGGAGCCAGACTTCAGCCAGAGCCCATCATCATCCTCATCTGGTTGTAAGTGGGCAATCTAGTATATTACTAATGACACTAATCTCTAATTTTACCACATGACAGGAGGCTTTGTATTTTGCATATCTCTCTTTACTAACTCCATACAGCAGTAAAGAGACAAATAGAAAAAAGAACCAATCACAGGAGAGCAGGATATACATAAGGCAATGTGACCTCATCATTTCCTCTTTCTTTACTGCTCCATCAAGCAGACAGGTCAGAGTATTACTCTTCTCTACTACTTTATGTTTCTATTGCCTCTTTGAGGTTGTTTCTGTATTATATTTTTGATATACTTTGCTGTATGTTCTTGCTGTGCTTCTGTACTATGTGCAGCTGTGTTTTTTCTGTTATTTCATAGATATTATATAGATTTAACATTATCCTTATTTCATAACCTTTAGTTATGAGTAATATCACTTGTAATTTATCAGTTTTATAGGCATTTCATCCTTTGTTTTGATAAGTATTATATGTACTTTCAATGTATTTAATAGATCTCATATGTATTTTATAATATGGATTTAATAGGTGTTAGGTGTAAATTTTATTATTGACTTAATAGGTTTTATGTATAGTTATGGTAAATGTACTTTATACCATATGTATCATGACTTTTCTGGCAATTTTCCTGGCCTTCTATACCTGGGGCATCTGGGGACCCTCTTTCACCACTTTCCTCCTTCTCCCCAGGGTCTCATGGGGATTCTGGGTCTGGCTGGGGCTTAACCCCTTCCCTCCCGCGGTTCCCGCCGGCTCCCGGGCATTAACCCCTTCTTCCGGCCTATCCGTTCGACCTCTTCCTCCTACATTCCTCAGGGGGACGGCCAGACTCACTGCCCTCGCTCTCTCAGCCTGCCCCAGTACACCCAGTAATGTGCTGGATGCTTTCCAACATCCACTACCTTGGTGCAGGGCAGTGTGTGGGACGACCACAAGGTAACCCGAGCATGACGCGGCAGCCATCTTTGATCCAGGGACCATATTCCCCCTCCTTTACCCTCGGCGGCTATCTTAAATCTCGCGTCTCGCGAGATTATGTGTAGCCATTTTGCTACTCTCACCCACGATGATTTTGGCGCTCGAGAGTAACATATACCTGGGCTGTCAGCTGCTAGCCTAGCTGCTCTTGTGGCTTACGATGCTCTGACATGGATGTTGGACCCCAGGATCCCAAGTTTGAATCCAGGCAAAGGTAAGTATTCTAACTGGCCTATTATTTACAGAATTGAGTCGTACTCATGTGTAGTGGTTTGAGGTACTGGATATCACCCCCAAAAATCCCTTAAAGGGATATCACCCTCAAATTCCTTAAAGATACCACTGTGGTACTACTTTAAAGTATACTACCCTGGAACTACTTAAAAGGGATAGCACCCTTGGACACAGACTATCAAAATGGATCAGGGTTCAGGAATCTACAGCAAGACTCTATGTCTGGTAATGGATGATCGCTTAAGACTACCTGTCAGAACACGACGGTGCTTAGAGCTAGTGCTATATCCTATTATCCCTCAGAGGTCAGTCACTTTTGTCTCATTACTGCCATATTAGGCACTAAAGGGCTTATTTCCCTGTGCCTGCCTGGGGTGCTGCCCCTATTACTGTGCTGCTTTTTGGAGGTCGCCCTGTGGCCACATCTGGGATCCTGGGTGAGGCCCAGTTATACAAATCCCAATATTGTGGTTTGCCCTGCTGGGACAATTTGACAACACTAAGTGACAGATACAGAATACCCTGCCGGGGTTATTACAACTTACTGTCATTTATACAGACCCTGCTGGAGTCCATTGGCATTATTTACACTACAACAGATACCCTGCTGGGGTACCCCATATCACACACCCTGCTGGGGTTGTTTTGGTACTTTGAGACAATAAATTTAAATTGGACGCAATAAGTGCACACTACTGCATATCACACACCCTGCTGGGGTTGTTTTGATATTTTGAGACCATAAATTGCACACTACTACACCCTGCTGGGGTCTGCATGGTGCATTGCACACAATGAAACGGATTGTGCTCTCATCCAGTCAGTTTTATTTGGCCACGACCCATGCTTGATGGGTACATACCCCGCACACCTGAGGTGATCTCTGACTAGGTATAAGCCAATCTATTCGGCTAAAAGGGGGACAGAGTTGCAAGCTTCAGCACAGAATATCCCCCATGGTGGTGCATTAATTATTGGAAGAGCTGTAGGACACACTCTATCAGGCTGATGGCCAGCACTGATGGGTTCATACCCTGTGCAACTGGGGTGAGCCCCCTACAGCACTGCTGCTTCTACTCCTACCCCTCTCAACAGCGAGATCGAGGATTGAAAACCCGAACTTCGGACCCGGTGCTCTCAGGGTGAGACCCCTATGATAGGCGAGTCACACTACCCGACCGAAGGAAGTCTTATGGCAACAGCCTCTACCTACAGCTGAAGGAATACCTCCATTGATAATGAATCATAATACGGTATGGGTTTATGCCCTGTACCTATTCTGCGGCCTGCAGTTAAAGGCCCACGCCCTATGAACGGGCCCGGCTAGGTGTGCACTGCACTAAAATGCCAAACAGAGGCATGCAGTTACAACCGCTGAACAGGAGTTCCGAGCCGCCTACTTGACTGACACTCTCTATCAGGGCGATGGCCAGCACTTAAGGGTTCATACCCTGTGCACCTGGGGTGAGTCCCCAACATACGTGCACTGCACGGTGCTGCTGAGCGGAGGCAATGCTATGGCAACCTCTATGTACTGGGTGAGCCCCAGTCTGTTTTATTTGGCCACGATTCAGAATAAGACCCGCAAGGGTTTCCGTGAAAACTGCTTACTGTCATAGTAGACTGATCTGTTTGCCCTGCATCCTGTGTCTGAATACTGGTTTGTGCCTTACACAGGGGTATCCCTTACTACGATAAACCTACTTGACAACTTTATGCACTCGTGGCTTTGCAGCCTCTTGCTTAGAATGTCCATATCCGCTGACAGTCGGACAAACCCATGCCCTTCCATGCCGGTCAGAATGGCTCAGATGACTATAGTGACCAACGGAGGAGGTCTTTCAGGATTCACAACCTTACCATGGGCGATGCTGGACAATGCAAAACATCGGCCGGGAACGGGCATACAACTTGGATATACGGACTCAAAAAACAGTTTCTGCTCCTCGCAGGAAACCCCAGTGTTGGCCTCTCCCATAGGATGCCCATAGTAGCACTCCTCCGCACTGACAGATGGTTGGCGGTACTGGGCGCCAAGATAGTCGGAACCCCAGGCACAAGGCACAAAGTTCCGAAGGGAACTTATTAGACATGCATGGGTCCCACAGCTTTCATAAGGGCCCAAACCCCTCGGAGGGATGTGTTATGCGATTACCTTTACAATGGATTCTTTGGAACCGGTTGGCAACAGAGCCGGTCGTCAACCACTTCGGGACATCTGACCCAAGATCCGCTACTGCCAGCTCTATTGCCCATATAGAATGAGAGTCAACCAATGGTGCTCCAGATAAGCGGACAGAGAATACAGTATGCACAGATACCATCAATATACCTCCTACTACATCCACAGGGGATTTCACCACATCTAGGTGAAAGGCACTCAATCCTGGGGAAGACCACTTTCACGTAGTCAACTGACTTGCGTTTAGGACCTAAAGACACGTCAGGATGGTCTTCTTCCTTCCCGCTCGACTACGTTACCCAGTTTTCAGGGGACATCCTCTCCTTCCCGATCCAGTAGCTCAGAGCCTGGTGGGCCCTGATAAACTACCAAAAGAAGTAATGAATACAGGTGGGGAAGACGAGACACTCTCTCACGGGAGAACCACATTCAGATCACTCCTGGGAACTGAAAACTCATCAACACCCACGTTCATCCGAGAACCGGCTGGAACCTCCAGACTTGTAGAAGACTATTCGCTCAGAGGATTTGTAGACTATTCCACAACTTGGGAATATTCGCACGACTCTCCACGGCACCACCGCGACCCTGTATGTTGTATACCTAGACTTCTTGGTCCTATACTTCACAATACATGGATTGATAAAGAAGTACTAGATCAGCTGCACCCTACTGCAGGTAACCACAGATTAGGCTGTCAGGTTTCACATCCATTGGGATGGACCAACTCACGTTTCTCAGACAACATGTAGACTCCTTCGATCCCCGTCTTCTTCACAGAAGATCAACCCGTCTCCCGGGGGAGACACATCTCATAGGGGCTGACTGATTTGGATATTACTACTCGTCACAGTATAAGTCGAGGCACGATGGTGATCGCACTCCGTCCGACCGGTCCCTTCCGAAGGACTTATGCTTCTCATGCTTACAAGGTCTACAGAAATTCTCGAGCAGGCGAGGATCTTCAACTGCTATATTCATGACCGACAATTCCTCACGGAGCCATAAGGTACTCACATCTTCTATCCGGGAGGGTCGGCTACCTGGGGGACCTCGACCCGCTTTGGGGGTTTCTTGGCAGGTCAGTGGACGATTGCAGGCTGCCAGGGACCTCTTGGGAATCTGGGAACCCAGGGATGTGACGCCCCTACCCCTACATCTGGACATTCCCAGCTTGTCTGGTTCGGTCGTGCATCTTGATCCTTTATGTGAGGATGGAGACAGAACTGCAGCCCATATCACTACCTGAGGACGCCCAAGGGACTAGGATCCTCTAGGATACCAACTACCCAATGTCATACCTCTCCACCTTATGAGTTGTGGAGGTCGTTCCCCTTTCACTCTACGGGACTAAACATCCTGCTGACAAACGGTCAGACTTGGTCTTGTATAATTTCCCGTTAGATGGTGTATACGTGGGTGCTCAACGGGGAAGACCTCCCCACAACGCTGAATACCTTGTCTCTCGGCACACAGTAGGACTCTTATTTAGTTCTATACTCTTTTCTCAGCGTTAAAAATGCAAAATACGAAGCTTCCTGTCATGTGGTAAAATTTAAGATTATGCTAGCTTTAGTGTACTAATAATCTTAATTTTAATAATGACAGGAGGCGAGTATTTCCCTCCCCCACCCCCCCGCTTCGCTGCCCACCCTTTCTATTCGTTTGCTTTGCAGATATCAGGGGCTACGGTAGGTTTGCCTCTCACGTTGGTGCTTATATGATATGTTCATACTTCCATTAATATGAAATCCTCATTAGAGTTCTCATTACTATTACTCAGTAATCAGATTATAGTTACTATATTCTCCAATGGGATGTTAGGTAGTACGTTAATTGGAGTTACATGTTCGTGACTATGTCTAAACCTGTCACACATTCTCTTTTCAGTATGATTCGTCTCTGAAGATAATTGGCAGTTCACGTGAAACTATTGGAGATTTTATCCTTCGGATTTGTCTCAACCCTGAACTCTTTTTCGTTGTTCGTATAGAATTCTTTGGAAGTTTGCTCCTTCGCACATGGGAACTTGGAGTTATTATTAGTTTTATTGTTTGCTATATATTTACTTCTGCTTGTTGTCGCTTTCTGAAAGAGGAAATGATGAGCTCACATTGCCTAATGTACATCCTGCTCTCCTGTGATTGGTTCTTTTTTCTATGTGTTTCTTTACTGCTGTATGGAGTTAGTAAAGAGAAATATGCAAAATACTCGCCTCCTGTCATTATTAAAATTAAGATTATTAGTACACTAAAGCTAGCATAATCTTCAATTTAACTCACATTAAAGGGACACTATAGTCCCCAGAACCACTGCAGATTAATGTAGTGGTTCTGGTGTGTATAGCCTGTCCCTGCAGGCTTTTTAATGTAAACACACACTGTGTGCAGCACTGGCATTAGTTCATATGGTAGATCATATGGGTGGGGCATTGTGATGTCACATGGTGGGGGCAGCAAGCTTTTCTTTTGCCTTGGGCAGCAAAAATCATTGCACCAGCCCTGGGTATAGTGCCACTATAGAGGGGATCGCAATTCCCACATGAAGATTCCTGTGGCTTCAGAGAACTCTTAAAAATACAAATAAATGTATTAACAAAAAAAGGAATAATAAAACAGTAAAATAAAAGCATAAAATACTGTGCAGCCTCTTATAAAAAGGTCATGTTTCAGCCAAAACGTGTTTCACTCCTTCCTGAGCTTTTTCATTCAGTTATGTGCTGGATATATCAGCACATACGTGGGGCATGTTACCCCTTTAATTTTCCTCTTTAGCGCTCCAACATTAGTATTAGTGGATCTTGTACCACTAGAAGGATGACCATATGGATTACAATATTTTGAAAGACCCCTTACAAGCCCAATATGTAGCCTTCCCGGTGAATGTCTAGTGAAGATTAGTGAGTGAGGAGGGGGAAATCACTTACCTTCTGAATTCTTTCTTTTGTAATTGTTTTAAGCCCCCCAAAAAAGTTTTTAAAAAAATCCATTATAAAGCAATGCATTTTTTTAAAACCACGAATCACAAAAATAACAATAACAAAAAAACCTGAGATGTCAAAAATATTACAATTTCACCCATCGAGAGAGTTGCTGGCTGCTTACTGTGAAATAGATATGCCTCCACCTGTAGAATGGAGGGAGGGAAGCATAAGGGAGGTTTTATAACTCCCTTATAGTTATATTGACACCTCAGTATAGGTTCATTTTTTTTTTTTTAGATATATATATATATATTATTGTAGCTGGTTGTAAAGTTCTGGCAAGTTGTCACATGTTTAACCCCTTAAGGACACATGAGGGAAATATTCCGTCACAATTCCCTTTTATTCCAGCAGTGGTGTCCTTAAGGGGTTAAATATTGCACTGCTAAGGGTTTTTAATGCCCACTGACTGCTTGTGCTCACACTGGACAAATAGTACAGATTTGTATTCACTTGCCAAAAGGCAGGTGAATTATAATGACTGAATATGCATGCTACTGAACTCATTTAGTCCCAATATTTTTAGTCAGGATGACAGAAATTTCAACTGGATTTAGCTTTAGATAAACTGGTAATTTTCACTGAATTTTGTTCAGATAGTGGATAAAAATTAGGCACTTTTAAACTTTCAAGAACTTATTTTAAATTTGACCCTAAGTGCTGGATTAGCATGAACAAAATAATACTTTGAGTACCTTCTTCATATTGAGGCAACAGCTAATGTTTGAATCCTTTCATACCTTTTTGAAAGAAAAAAAAATGTCTATTATTCGAGAGCCCTCAAGAACATCAGAGGCTTTGGTGTTATTCCTAGAAGCCTAGAGTGAGCAGGAAACGGCGTGTCCTCAATCAAACTTCCAATTAAATAGTTGTTCCCATACTCAGGATGATAATTTGTGTATCCAGGGACACTTCTGTTTTGTTCCAGACTGACAAAAAGTCTACCGTTTACAGAGGCCTTTGGATGAGAAAAAATAAATAAAGGCGCCGTCAGAATGGAGAACAGCTTACGAAAGATACAGGATATCACAATTGTTAGGGCAGAACACCTAAAGGGACACTAAGCACCAAAACAACTATAGCTTAAGGAAGTTTTGGTGTACAGTGCATGCCCCTGCTGTCTCACAGCCCAATTATTTGCCATGAACAAGTTAAAGAGACATGCAGGACTTGACAATTATTTTTTAAACCAGCAAGCAAACACCTTTACACAACTATACAAATCAAAATAAAGCAAGAAAGGTATGACAAGTATGTAATAAATTTTTTAAAACTTACTATAAAATCCACTCCCCCTATTACCCACCCTTTTAGATTCAGACCGGCCCACTAATCACAGAAATAGGGCACCATTTCAAAGCAGCAGGAGAGAGAAACCCAACACTGGAGCCTGCATGAATCACACTGATCAGACTCCCTCTCATCTCCCTCGTCAGATGGTAAAAGGTAAAGAGCTCTTCATACGTGTAAATCTGTCAGGCATGCCCAATGCACTTTTCCAGTATTCCTAGGGTTAGATTAGTGTCACCCCTGGAATGGTTGTGGAAAGCATTAGAAAAAAGAAGCAGGTAAATATGAAATAAAATCATGTTTACTTGCTTTATACAGGCTGAACAGTGAGGCAACAGTACAAAAACAACAAAGGAGGCTACAAGAATCAATAAATCATAACATGGAAGATAATCATAAACCTCTCTACTTTTAATCTTGAAAATAAGCATAAATCTTTGATAAGTAAGGGCTTGCCATTTGTTTCCTCTCCAACTACTAATAAATTTGACTGGGTAAAAGACACCAATTTGTTTGGGCGCAAACTCGCCCTTAGTGTCACCCACAAAAGAAAAGAGAACAAACAAGCTAAAGAACTGGGCTTAACATATGAAGACCATCACTATCTACAAACCATGGTATCTCTCTTAGATGAACAAGATGACAAGCAACCCCTTAATGATTGTAAACCCCCTAGTTGGTACACTCCAAACTTCAAGGAAGTGTCCAGCGTGGACTTATTTGTCCAAATGACGACAAAATCTATTGAGTCACTTCCAGATAAATATGAGGACAATCTAACAAGGGACGAACGAGAAGCACTTAGGGACCTTAGAAACACTAAATACCTAGTTAAACAGAACCTTTGGATAAAGGGGGCAATATAGAGCTAATGGATCAAGAAATCTATGTGGAAATGTGTTTGGTACATCTTAGGGACACCTCTCAATATAAAGTACTATCTCAGGATCCCACCATTACATTTCTCACCGAACTCCGAACCCTTCTCACTCAGGCATTAGAAAGTGATATAATTAGAAAAGAAAAATATCAATTCAAGATTCCTAATCATAACCCTACTATCCCCACTTTCTATTGTCTTCCAAAAGTCCTTGACAACCCCCCAGGGAGACCAATAATTTCTGGCAATAACTCTCTGTCTGAAAAAGCCAGTAAGTTCTTAGAAAAACTTCTTCACCCATTTGTGAGTAATTTAGATTCCTATGTTCAAGATACGAAACAAACCCTCCTGACACTCGAATATCTTGTGGTCCCCCTGTATTAGACATGTGCAATTCGTTTCGATCCGAATATGAATTCAGACGAATTTCGGGCAATTCGGATATTCGGGTACTTCCGAATGTCCGAATTGCCGAAGTGTTGAATTGCCGAGGTCCCGAAGTTGCAAAATTACCGAATTTCCAAAGTGTCAAGTGCCGAAGTGCCGAAGTGCCGAAGTTCCGAAGCACAGTATTGCCTAAGTACTAATATACTTACCCATTGAAAGAAGAAGAATGTTACATTGTATACAATTTTAAATAAAAAGTATACAAACATAGCCAGGATTCAGCTGTAAGCATTTGCAACACTTACAACAATCAAGTAACATACATTCATATAAAATGTAAGTTACTTAGTCAGTCAGTGTAATGACAGGAATGAATAAGTAGATAACTCCCTAATTCCCACGGTATTAGAGAGCTATCTACTAAAAGGCTGAAAGACATAAATTGGTCTTTTCAGCCAAATTTACTAATACTAAGCATACTAAGCCTGTGGCTGCTCACTGTTAAAAAGTAAATAAAAAAGGGCCCTGAGCAGTGGGCCCTAAATACTAATAAGGGGAAGGACCTAATGTCCTCCCCTCTGAGCGGTGGGTGGGGGCCCTAAATACTAATAAGGGGGGGACCTAATGTCCTCCCCCCTGGCTCTGACCCCTGAGCGGCGGGTGGGGGCCCTAAATACCAATAGGGGGGGACCTATTGTCCTCCCCCCTGCCCCCACCCCTGAGCGGCGGGTGGGGGCCCTAAAAAAATGTTACCCCCCCCTCGCAGGTGACTAGGGGACCCCAAACCCCTAGTAACCCTCTCCCCCCCAAAAAAAATTAACCCCCTACCTACCCCCTCACCCTAAAAATAATGAGTATTAAGTACCTGTAAAAAACAAAACAAAAAAACTTACCATTTGATATTTTCTTTCTTCTAAAATCTTCTTTTTTCAGCCCCATAAAAGGCCAAATAAAAATCCATAATAACCGACGCACTTAAAAAAATAATAATCCTTTTTCACCCATGGAGGGCTCCGCGCAGACTGAGCTCTGCAGGGCGGTGGAAGGCTTATAAAGCCTTGCCCCGCCCCGCAATTAGGCTCAGAGCACTCTGATTGGTTGGTTTGAAATCCACCAATCAGAGTGCTCTGTGTAATTTCACACAGCGTGGGAAAGTTCTTTGGAATTTTCCCACACTGTGTAATTTGACTCATAACACTATGATTGGTGGATTAAGTATTTTTTTTTTTTTTTATTGCATCGCTTATAATGTTTTTTTAAAACATCGAATGGTAAGTTGTTGTTTTTTTTTACAAGTACTTAGTTAAAGGTCCCCCCCCTTATTATTTTTAGGGTGAGGGGGTGGGTAAGGGGATAAAAAAAATTTTTTGGGGGGAAGGGATGACTAGGGGTTTGGGGACCCCTAGTCACCTGGGGGGGAACATTTTTTTTTAGGGCCCCCACACACCGCTCAGGGGTGGGGGCCAGGACATTAGGTCCCCCCCTTATTCTAATTTAGGGCCCCCACCCACCGCTCAGGGGTTGGGGCCAGGGGGGAGGACATTAGGTCCTCCCCCCTTATTAGTATTTAGGGCCCCCACCCACCGCTCAGGGGTGGGGGCCAGGACATTAGGTCCACCCCCCTTATTAGTATTTAGGGCCCCCACCCACCGCTCAGGGGTGGGGGCCAGGACATTAGGTCCACCCCCCTTATTAGTATTTAGGGCCCCCACCCACCTCTCAGGGGTGGGGGCAAGGGGGGAGGACATTAGGTCCCCCCCTTATTCTTTTTTTTTTTCTTATTCTTTTTTCAAATTTTACATATATAACATCACAGACAAAAACTGTTCAGAATTAGACATATAGACTTTGATTTAGAATAGAAGGATATGTGAACTGTTAAGTAAACTTCACACACAGAAACACAAAAATCACAATTTAAAAGAACTGAGCGGATTAGGTGGGCCTAAACTATAATAATTAAGTTACTTCATAACTTTACTGAATACAGTACCACATGGAGGAACTAGAGTGATCTTTATATAGAAGGATATTCATAACAGAGAATGCCAAAGTATACAGTTATATCAGATTATCTAGCCAAGGTGACCATTTCTCATCAAATTTTAAGTGGCTATCATATTGAAAAGATTTTCCCCTTTCCATATCGTGTTGGTATTTAAGCTGAGTTAGCACTTGGGTCCAAGATGGAGTCTTTTTCTGTAGCCAATATCCTGATATTTCTATTTTTATGGCCATAATAAGTTGGATTATTAGATATCTATTTTGAATTGAGAATCTTCTTAAGTAAAAATGGAAAAGAGCAACCAATAAATTATCGTCCAATTCTTCTCCCACTAAGTCTGATATGACTCTAAATGCTTTATTCCATATAGGTCTTAAAAGCTTGCATCCCCACCAAATATGTTTAGAGCTACCTTCAGCACAGGTACATCTCCAGCAAAGTTTGGAATTATCAGGGTTGATTCTATTTAGAATTTTTGGTACCCTATGCCATTGATGAAGAATTTTATAATGAAGCTCTATGATATTTAGACAATGCAACGATTTTTTTAACTTCTTGAATTGATCTATACCACTGCTCTAACTCGATTAAAGACCCACTTTCTTGTTCCCAATTTTTCCATGTTTTTGGTTTAGACTCTTTTTCTTCCTCTCTCAATAATTCATACCAACTGGATATCGATTTACGATCAGTATTATTTTTAAATAGATCATTTAATTTTTTATTTATCCTATTCTCATAAAGCAAATGGTTGTCCAAATAATTTTTGATTCTTAGATATGTGAATAATTCTCTTGAATTAAAGTCAATACTTAACTGAAGATGTAAAAAATACCTAATTTTTAAATTCTAATAAATCATCTATTTTAGTTGAACCAAATTTGATCAAATTACCTAAATTTAGGTCGTTAATATTATATTCCATTGTCTTAATTGGACTGTACTTAGAAATCTTATTTAAAATGTGATTTCTTTTCTTGTATTTTACCCAAATTTCATAGATATCTTTTATGTATGAAGTTTCTATATTGGAGATGAATTTTGCACTTGCCCCAACGTCAATCCATAACATATTAGAAAGATCTTTTGAATTATACAAAAAGGATTCAATTTTATACCAAGACTCTTCCAATGAGGTTGGGCCGTGCCATCTCCACAGATGGTACAGCCTAGAGGCTTCGTAATATTTGATAAGGTTTGGGACAGCCAGGCCGCTCTTATTGGGCTTTTTCATTACGTGTAAGATCGAGATCCTTGACCTCTTATAATCCCATATGTAATTCAGAAATAATTTATGAATCTGCCTAAGTTTAGTTATTGTTATAGATAAAGGGATCATTCTAAACAGGTATAACCAATGAGGTAGAATATATGATTTGATGATATTTATTCTCCCCAACCAGGAAATTCCTATGTTTCTCCACTCTTTGAGTAATTTATCACTGGTATCTTTTATAAGATTATCCACGTTTTTATCAATCATTTCTTTTAAGTTATAAGAGAAATGAATCCCAAGATATTTAAAACCTTGAGATGACCAAGTGAAGGGATATTTAACTGATAATCTATTGTCGTAAAATCTAAATTGATAGGCATAATTTGGGATTTACCAATATTTAATTTATAGTTTGAAACTTTACCATAGTCTTCCAACTCCTGAAACAAGGCCCCTAGTGATAAATCCGGATCAGACAATGTTAATATTATGTCATCAGCATATTCTAATTTAAGGCCCCCACCCACCGCTCAGGGGTGGGGTCCAAAAGAGACAATAGGTGTCCCCCTTATTATAATTTAGGGCCCCCAGCCACCGTGCAGGGGTGGGGTCCTGAGGGGAGGACATTAGGTCCCCCTCCCTTATTCTGATTTAATGCCCCCACCCGCCGCTCAGAGGTGGAGTCTGGGATGGGAGGACAATAGCCCCCCCATTATTTTATCTTAGGGTCCCAGGCTGCTCACTGTTTAATAGACATGCCCCTACTCACGGTATAGCGAGTAGGGGCATAATTTACTAATACTAAGTAATCTTTACTTAGTATTAGTAAATTTTTCTGAAAGACCAATTTAGGCCTTTCAGCAGATAGCTCCCTAATACCGTGGGAATGAGGGAGTTATCTACTTATTCATTCCTGTCATTACAGTGACTGGCCAAGTAACTTACATTTTATATGAATGTATGTTACTTGATTGTTGTAAGTGTTGCAAATGCTTACAGCTGAATCCTGGCTATGTTTGTATACTTTTTATTAAAAATTGTATACATTGTAACATTCTTCATTCTTTCACTGGGTAAGTATATTAGTTCTTAGGCAATACTGTGCTTCGGAACTTCGGCACTCCAGCACTTCGACAATTCATCTATTCGGACATTTGGAAGTACCCGAAATTCGTCCGAATTCACATTCGGACCGAAACGAATTGCACATGTCTAGTGCTTAGGAGTTTGAATAGCTCTGCTTTTCTTGCTGTGGCAGGGTAGGGGATTTGTCGCCTCCTTAGCGCGGTGGTGATGAGTGGGATCGTCCAGGATCTGATTGATGCTGGACTGGCAACATCTCCCCTCCAAGAGGGTGTCTCGACCATAGCTGGGGTGCCATGAAGAGATAGCTCTTCATCACCTTCCTGAGACATACTTAAATAAAATAAAATAATTTGAACCGAGTAGTTTAGTACTGGCTAGCTATGCCGTAAGGCGAAACCATTATGCTTATTGTTTTGGTGACAGATGAGGCCCTTCTAGTTGCCAAGCGGCTTGAAAGGCTCCATCTATGGATGGCGCGAGGGGATTTTTGTGGCCACTGAACGTTGTGGCAGGATGTTGGCCTCTCGTTGACTGTAACCAGAAAAATAGGAAGGGGAGTGACAGGTGAGGCCTTCTCTATGATATGTGTGAGGTGGCTAGCTCACGTATGGCCCGAAGGGTGTATGCCTCCGAGTTTGAGGCGGGGTGTTGGCCTCACGGGACCACTAATCCAAAGCATAGTGCAGAGAAAAGAGGAAAATTACCTATTGGCCCCTATGACCCTAATTGCCAGTACTTATGTCTATTCAGTGGGAGATTTTTGTTATGGATATACTGTACGCAGGTGTACGTAGCTGGAAGTATAGTTTTGTAACCTGATAATCTTTATAGGTAGCAGTAGTATCTGTAACTAAATAGATGGAATCGTATTAAAATAATAACAAATGGCACAACCCATTTTACCTTAATTATGTTTGGTTGTTTTGACCTGTAGAAGTCAATGGAGATGTTTGTAGTATCTCTATAAGTATGTACTTACTGACCTGTAGGTGGCAGTGTTTGAGTTGTAGCATTCTGGATGTAATAATATGTAGCGTGAGTTCGAAGTATTTACATTTTATGTGATGCGCCGTACTTAATTAATTATGGAGTATCAGTTTACATGTTATATATATATCTGTATCCGTATACATGTTAACAATACTTTAATTGTTTTGTGTTCATTGATGGGTTTTAGTGTTTGTAAAATTCCCCTGGTGACCATATATGAAGTGGTATGTAGGTAGAGATCATGTATAGATGTCAGAGTTTGTCGACCTGTAGGTGGCAGTGTAGAGCCACCATTATAATGTGTATTGTAAAGTCAGACATTTTTAATTAACACATGTCCATGGAACACATAAATAACCAGTCGCTAATACCAAAAGACCATAAGGTTAAATCCCCCAAAACTGCATGTTCGTACGTTTAACCGCTCAAACTGTGTCTGTAGTGAATGAAAGATTAGTTATTAATGTATCCTGTTTGTGCTGTGTAAACCGCACAAACCGGCCGTATCTAATAACGGAACTTGTGTATCTAATCTGTTTGTGCGTTTGAAGTGCACGAACGGAGATAATTTATACGAATGAGTTGACAGTGAAGTGTCCGAACAGGGAAATACATAGTAATACAATCCCGAAAAGCCCAAACGGGGAAACATAGCGAGATATGCCCGAAATGGGCGTGTAAACGAACGGCTGAAAATGAACAAGATAGACTGAATAGGCAGTGTAGCATGAAATCGCCGAACGTAACCGTAAAGTGAGGACCTGACCCGTGTATGATGCCTGGCTTAATGGGTAGGTCAACTTACGGTTTGTGAGTCACTAGGACATGATCTACGGCGATGGAAGAAGCTGGTCGGACAGAAAAAGGCCTGCTGCTGGATTCCTAGACACAGCTCATCGTGGAAGACCTGGTGAGAAGACTGAGGTATTCCAAAATGGCGACTGGATGACCCAGAAGTTCTTTCAGACGCTGACCTTGATCGTTATGGAGTCAGGTAAGGGGTGTACCTTTTATAGGGGAGTTATTTAATTTAAGCCCCTCCCACAAATACAGGCCAAACAGCCTTAATACATATATATTTGTAATTTTTTTTTAGAAAACTGGGCCAGTTGGATATTCACTTTAGGTAGTTCACCCCATTTACCATCTTCTGTAATTTTAAATTGTCAGAATATTTATATCAACAGACATTTTGTGCTAAAAAGAAATAAAAAGTGTATATTGCCACAGCCACTCAGAACAACAACAGCCACTTCAGGATAACAAAAACACATAATTTCCTTGGTTTCTTCTTACTTTCAGTAACTAGCCACTTGCTTAAGCTGAGGAATGTATTACATAAACAAACCAATATATGCAATGAAGCAAGGGGGATGGAACGCTCTGTCTAAAATGTAAATGTTAATAGATGCAATTATCTAAACACAGACACTAGTGACAGAGAAGACTAAGTAATTAATTTTACTCTCTAAATTTTGCAAGGTACCATTGTAAGTAAGGGTTGAAACTGAGTTTAGAACTGTCAATTTTACAAGTTACGATCAAAGTAGTTGCCACAAAGACTGAAACAAACGCCTTGAACTGACAGCAAATCTAAGTTATGGTAGTCATTTTAGATAAGCCAAAATGACGTCAAAATCGTCATCAGGAAAAGTTAACTCTTTCCTGGATAGGAAGGTTTCGTTAGACGAGACTGCCCTCTATGGATCAAATACCTAAATTGCGACCCATAGATTGGACACACCTACGGCTTCCTATTAGGTTATCAACTAATGATGTACAAAGAGTCTGGCCCTTTAAAAGTAAAGACAAAGGGAAGACAGGAGTAGTTGGAGACAGAGAGAGATGAATTGAAGTTTGGGCATCCAAGTCGGACATGCAGAGAAATCCAGGACAATATCAGGGACTAACACTCTACCCTTAAACTCTCTTGGACATAAACTCTTAAACACTTTTCTATCGCTCACGCACCTCCATACAACCAATCAAGTCTCTGGGACTACCTACTCATCTGATGAGAATATCTACATAACTGGTAATTATGCTGGTTTTATTTAATTAATTTAAATTAATTTAACTTTACTAATAGCATGATATATGACTGGATAAATCACGGTCAGATTTCAATATTTAGAAAGCTTAGTTAACTAAAGAATATATAGTTATAAACATTCCATTCTGCAGGTGGAATTAAGAATAATTATATATTAATGTGATAGTATCACGTGTTAGCATACCGCTGTTTTTATCCAGGTGTATTGATTTATTCTAAAATAAGATAAGATATCTTTTTAGACAAATTAAAATTCTGCTTTTGTAAAAATCTGGTAGATTATTCTTATTGGATGGTTCCAGGAAATGACTAATGAGCTGGTTTAAATGTTATTTTAATTGAAAATCACAGGAGAATAGGATACTATATGCCTAGGAGGATCTAGCCAGCATTGAAAGGGTTATTCAGTTGATCTAACTGTTAGCCAGGGTTTTACGGCCCTTCGCTGTGGAAAAACTTCACTTTTTGTCTGTAAGGATACCCTCATAAATCGTGTAAGTCTTAACAGAAAATGCTGTTTAGCCATTGAAACGTGTATACCCATTCCATTGTATACTATGTTATACTAAATATTCACTCATTATTATCACGCATGTTGCGTAATAATATTGTTAATTTGTTACAATAAAAATAAATCTATTTTTATAACAAATTGTGAATTATTGATGGAATACTTTTCACTTACATGATAAACGATCTCTAAGATCTAAGAGAATTGAAATAGTGGGCAATTCTCGACTGCTTAATATTATCATCCCATAAATATCCCCACAAAATAAATTCTTAAAATGTTGAGAAATAAAGGCTCGCTTTTCAGGGTTTTCCCATTCTCTGTATAGAAGATTGACAAGGGATTGAGGTACAGGTAGTACTCTCTTACTCTTAGTCTCATCCTGCAACAAAATCTGATTCACTTCTTTAATGAATCTTACTTCATCAGGTGGGAACCCAGACTCCACATGACGAACTAGAAACCTCTAAATTAGCAGTAGACGAACATTCACCAGAAGACATCAGAATTAGACCACCTTTTCCTGCCTCTGTGAGCAATATCAGGAACAACAGTGGATACTCTATGAAACTCTTTAAAAGTATCCGAAGTTGGGCTAGATTATCCTGAAACCAGATCAGGAACCAATGCATATTCTTTTGCTTAGATTTTTCCAAAGACATCACTGCACATTGATTACAAACTCTTCCTAGTACCATCAGCCACCAGAGGGACTTCCGTATTCATAGAACACAAAGTATTTTCAGCAACGCTGGACGTCTTCACGCTATGTGAGCATCATCAGCATTGCTGAAATCCCTCTATGGGGAGGTCTAATGCGGGTGCGCAGCCAACTAAATGTTTGGTTTTGGATGAGGCCTTCCTAGTTGTAAAAGTAGGCATGTGTTCTTTATCCATTTCTTGAGGGCTAGACATATCTGAAATAGAACAAGAAATATACCTTTAAGACTCCAATCCGTTTTGCCCAAAAAAAAAAAAGACTTTCAAAGTTAAGATTCATTAATCTTACGTCAAAATCCTCTGATCAGTGTGGGGGGGCTGGTGACACTCAGAATCCCTTCTAACAAGCACAGCCAGAGGAACTGCACAGCTATTTATCCGCCAGATAATCTGAATTTACATGCGTAATAGCGTACCTGGAACTTCGGTGGGACATAACATTAGCATGCGATCCACCTCTGGGCATGTGTCCTAATGCCCGCCTTATCCAGAGCCAGTACTTGGCATCCAGCGATCCCATGAAGGAGCTCCATAACCTCTGCAGAAGGAGCCCGGCCACGTATAAGGCCGCATCCCCCAAACATCAACCCGTGTGCCTCACTTTTTTTTAAACAGATGCCTGATCCGTCCCGTGGCTGGGACAAAGAACTGGGTTTGCCAGGGGCAGCCCTTTATATGGTAAAGGGGAGGGACTTTAATTCCTATCTTTCAGATGCTTGTCCCATTTAAGGAAGGGCAACCCACCATAAGTCAGAAAAATATAAAATTAGTCATCCAGCAATGGAAGTTTCTGACCATAAAATCCCAGAGGCATCAGCTAGTCTGAGAAAGTTTTGCTGGTCCCACTCTGCCAGACTGATTGCAGATTTCTCATCCTGGCCTTTTCCCATTTGCAGGTATTGAAAGTGTTACCAGATCCAAGGGTCACATTGCATTTTTGATGGTGCAAAAGTTCTTTGATAAGGAACTTAACCCCTTCCGACGTACAGGGTACGTCCCGACAAAAAATATGGCAGCTAATGACCACGTGCGTATCCTGCATGTCTGCGGCTAAAATGACCGGCGATCCCGCTCAAGAGGGACTGCCCGAGATCCCAGCAGTCCCCCTACTGCAGCTTCTCCGGCCCACAAGCACCATTTGTTCACCATGATCACATGGCCGCAATGGAAGTCTATGGAGGTGCCAGCAGGGGGACTGCCTGAGCAATCAAGCAGTCCCCCAGGCACCTAAAATGAAAGAGAAAAACAAAAAATTATATATTATGTGTAATATATTATGAAAGAATTTAATATATTATACATGTATGATACATATGATTGCATTATAAGTACTTTAAATACAAATCTCAAAATACACTTGTAATCATATGTGCATTATACATAGGAAATAAACAAGTGTGTATACACACATTATATAAATATAATTTTAAAAAACAAAACATTCTACATGTAGAGAAATGTCTCACGAGTACAACAGTACCCCTCAAGTACAGGTTTTATGGTGATTTGGAAAGTTACACAGTCAAACATAAGATTTTCCCCATTTCCATTTTTTTAAATTGCATTTGCCAAAATTAGCTATGTTTGCTTTGAGACGGTAGGGCAGACCAGAAATGAAAATGAGCCCTACCATGACATACCATTTGAAAAAGTTGACAATCCAGGATATTCAAAATGGGATATGTCCAGTCTTTTGTAGTAACCACTTAGTCACAAACACTGCCAAAAGTTAGCATTTATATTTGTGTGTGAAAAATGCAAAAATATGAATGCTAACTTTGGCCAGTGTTTGTGACTAAGTGGCTACAAAAAAAAAAAAAAACCCTATTTGCAATGATATGACATGGAATAAATTCTTATTCCTGGGCTACCGTACGGTCTCAAATGCAACATAACCAATTTGGCAAATTACAAAAAAAAAAAAAATTAAGAGCAAGCCTTATATTTGACCCTGTAAAATTCAAAAACACTAAAGCTAGTACATGGGGGTACTGTTATACTCCGCTGAACACAAATAGTGTTTCAAAACGGTTTAACTTATCACAACGATCACCAGTGAAAGTGCAGTTTAAAAAAAAAAAAAAAAAAATGCAAAACAAAATATGAATGCTAAGTGTTTGTGACTAAGTGGCTACTGCAAAAGACTGGACCTACCCCATTTTGAATACCCTGGATTGTCTACATTTGTAAATGGTATGCCATGATGGGGTTAATTCACATTCCTTGGCTACCATATGGTCTCAAAAGGCAACAGACCCAGCAAACTGAAATGGGCAAGCCCTATATATTGACCCTGTAACTTTCCAAAACACCATAAAACCTGTACATAAAGAGTATTGTTACAATCGGGAGACTTCACTGAATGCAAATATGAGTTTTTCAAAACAAATTTATAAAACGATGAAATCACCAGTAAAAGTGCAGTTTGTGTTAAACAAAAAAAAAAAAACACGCTAACTTTGGCCAGTGTTCATAAATAAGTGGCTACTACAAAAGACTGGACATGCCCCATTTTGAATACGGTGGGTTGTCTACTTTAAAAAAATATACATATGGTTTGATGGGGGTAAGTTACATTGGCCAGCTTCAATAATGTCCCAATGCTGTGAAAATTTCAAGTTAGAAAACTGGAATGCGCACCCTCCAAATAATGTATTTTAGGCCCCAGAGAACCCGACACCTATACATGTGTGACATCACTGTATTCAGGAGATGTTGCTAAACACATATTGGGGTGTTCTTTAGCACTAACTCATAAAGTTCTCAGTACCTGTATTCTTAAATTGCTGTGTCAAAAAAATTTTTTTGTTTTTTTTTTAATTTGGCATAGATTGGTGGTAAAATGGTTGCATGAAAACAGTCAAAATACCCCAAGTTTAATACCTTGGGTTGTCTTTTAAAAAAAATATATACATGTGAAAGTTTATGACAATGTTACAATGTAACTTTTTGAAAAAAATAGTTTGGAAATAGCAAAGTGCTACTTTTACTTATTGCCCTATGAACTTAAAAAAAAAAAGAAAAGAAAAAAAACGAACATGTTATCATTGGTATTTCTAAACTCAGGACAAAATTTTGAAACTATTTAGCACTGGTGTTTTTTGGCGGTTGTAGATGCATAAGATATTGGTGTCAAAGTTAGAAAAAGTGTTTAAAGTTTTTTTCATATTTTATAAACAAAATTTATAGTAAATTATATGACATGATGAAAATAATGGTATCTTCAGAAAGACCATTTAATGGTGAGAAAAACTATATGTGTGGGTACAGTAAATGAGTAAGAGGGAAATGACAGTTAAACACAAACACCACAGATATGTAAAAAACACCACAGATATGTAAAAACAGTCCTGGTCCCAAACAGCAAGAAAATTGAAAAGCGGTCTAGTCACTAAGGGGTTAAACATTATATTGTCAGGAATACAAATGTATTCAGAGATGAATGGAATCAATGCATCTCTGGTGAGCATTTAGTGTCTCCCTGCTGAACGTGGAGCCACTGAATGCCAGTGCAGCTTCTCCAGTGGCCATCTGAGTGACTACCACTTGAGGTGTTACTAGGCACCTATATAAACACTGCCTTTTCTCTGAAAAGGCATGGTTTACACGGAAAAGCCTGCAGGGGCACATTACAGCAACTAGATCCATCACATTAAGCAATAGTTGTTCTGGGGTGTCCCTTTAAAATCAAATTTTTAAATTGTTCTGCTTTTCCTCTGGAAGATCAGACTCCGAGTTTTGTGACTGAGATTAGTTGAGATTTATCCCAATTGATAATCCAGTCATGGATTTGTAAACATTGTAAGGGGAAAGGTAGAGAAGAATAAAATTTTAAAAAAGCACAGTATTGATCTCCTTCGCCAGTTGGTTCTTTGAAGATGCTTTCATCATCCAGTGGTCCAGATATGTGACTAGCGATAAACCTCTTTTCAGGAGGGCCATCTGAACAACCAGGACCTTTGTGACTAAAGTAGCTGAGGGCTCCCTCTCTCAACCTTTAGTCAAATTTGGCATATTACTTGTTCCAGTTATATCCAGAATTGTAAAAGTTGTGATTAACATAAAATAACCCAGTGAAAGATTATACTGGATCATGGTAATTTCCCTTGCTGCATTGCAGCATTGAGGAAACGTCAGAGTTATTGCCATTATTTTTGATTGAAATAATTCCAGCAAAACAGGATGTCAAAACATTGTCTTGGAGAAAGCAATTCTGAATCATGTCCACAAACTACTACTAAAAAGGTGCTTCCTAATATCAACACAAAGAAAAATATTTAAGCTCATACTTTTTCAGCAGTACACAAGCTGGGGCTTGGATATATTAAACAAACACTATAGTGCCCCTCTGTTCCCCCCCTTCTTACTCCCTAGGCAATTAAAGGGTTAAACAACTCTTTAAGACACTCACCTTTCTTACCAGGATTTGAAGATGCTGAATGTCGTTATTCACAGCGTGAGGATGTCCAGCATTATGTCAGAGAAACCATGAAACAGCAGGAAACTCTTCTATTGGCTTTCTAGTAGACAACCAATAGAGGCAGTCTTAACCCTGCAATATAAACCTTGTAGTTTCTCTAAAACGTAATCATATAAATTACAAGATAAAGGGGACAGGAACAGTGCATCCAGACTACTTCAATGAGTTGAAGTGGTCTGGGTGCCTATAGTGTCCCTTTCAAGTGCTTATTTTTAGACCGAACTTTGACTTACTCAATCTGCATATACATAAAATGGCAGATGAGGCAAGGAGGCAATAATATAAAGAACATAGACCACAATAGATATCTAGAGATGCAAACCATTCAATAGTCCTTTTACTGCGTGTAGTTCTAACACTACACAATTTACCCCTTTACAAATGCAGCAGCATTACTGTCGGTAAACTATTCGTAAATACGCCTTTGAGTATTTTATGCCTGATAAAAATAGAAATAATTTTTTTAATTCAATCAGCTTTAACCCCTTAAGGACCAAACTTCTAGAATAAAAGGGAATCATGACATGTCATGTGTCCTTAAGGGGTTAAGGAACTTTAGGTTGGAACCACTTTTCCTATACCCTAGTTCTAGAAAAAAAAAATATTTAACCACATGAGAATAAATACATTCACATACCCCATTCAACACAGATGTTAAAACTCTTTCCTCAACATCAGCACATTAATCAAATTATTCAAGCGCCACGTCCTAGGAACCCACACAAGCTGTTCAAATGTGCAGTTTGTCAAGAATACCTTAAAATACATTATGTACAGCAAGATTACTTTCAAAGTTGAAAGTCCATACATTAGAGAGTATTTACCTCTTAAAGGAACCTACTTTTCTGAAGATTAAATAATTTAAGGTTTCCCTTTAACAAATTAGAAGCTGTACTCCAGATTACCATATTTCTATGTGTGTATAGAACACGCATTCTCACTCTCCAAAACTTGTTCTAAATCTACCCAAGAGCAGAAGACAAAAAAGTAATAATACTCAGCTTGCCAAAAAGAAAAAAAATGTAAAGCACTTCAGTTTTTTTAAACGATTGTCTTAAAAATTTTATTTATAAAAAACATAATCCTTGGCATCAGATTGTTATGAAAAATGTTTGTAGAGAAGCAATCGGGGGTGAGAGTTAATTATACAGCCACCCCACTATATCCCCTCCCCCAAGAGAAGGCCACTGGTGATTCCAAGAAAAAAAAAAACACAAAAGAAAAAAACAATGCAAACCAAATATTAAAAAAAGGAATGGGAGAGAATCAGACAAATTATTCGAGGCAAACATAAAACCAGGTCACCCGGAAAACAAAAAGGGGGAGGGGGACATAATCAAAGAAACAGAGACAGCTCAGTGGCTTCTCCAGCAATCCAAAAAGACTGTTAGTGTCGCAATATCAGCCATGTCATGATATGTTAGTGTTCCCATATTTACAGTCATTCTACACATTTTTTGCGATATTTTATCGCATTTGCTGCATCACTTGTCTAAAAATATTCCAATAGGTCATCACAATTTACACAGCAGATGAGATCTTCAGATGCAGCAGAGAACCAAAAGGTAGTAATGGATGGGAAAAGGACAGGCAGTGAGGTTAAAGAATGAAGCATTTGTGGACCTGTAGCTCCTCAATAGGCTCAAGCTTGTGTTTCACCCTGTCAAAGAAAACAAATGAGAATTAGGAGATCAAGCAACATCTGTAGTAGCAAAGTAACAGCTAACACAAAGTGACATGTACATATTAGACTGGTCACACGTGCATGCAAGAGACCCAGACAACTCATATTACATACACATGCGAGAGATGTGGTATTAGACTGGCTGGTCTTCAGCATCCCCAAGATCCAGAGATCCCGCAGCACTGAGAGACCGTTCCTGTGACAAAGATCGTTAGTAGTGAGATAGATATTATGCAAAGATGTGAAGAGAAGCCGCATAAAGCTGCAGGTGAGAAAAAAAAGAATGCAATTGAAACTGTGTGTTACCTTTAGGGGTTCCAGTTCTGACAAATCTCCTGAACGGTTTAAGTGGCGAGTGCTACTGTCTCCATTGTGTGAGTATGGATCTAAAAATAAAAAATAAAAATATATATATTTTTTAAAATATACCTTTTTCATACCAGGTTTAAACACCAAAACGATATACAACAATACTAACTTGGGGAGTAGCAGAGCAGGGGACTTTGACATAATTAACAAAACCTTAACTTTGAATTACATCTTAAAATGCTCATGTGATAGCTTTATTTTAATCTAAGCAGTGCATATGCTGTGCATATAGTCATATTGTAGGGAACCAGTCATCCCAAAAATGTGGAACAGGTCAGAGTGATCACTTTAGTTCACGCAAAGAAATGATCAAGGAGCAGTTATATCTCCTAAAATCTGGACTAACTTCATTTTAAAATGCTCTAAATGACTTGAGTGGGGTTATTATTCACAGATTTATAACTATCAGGACTGAATGATTAAAACTTCAAACTACAAGATGAAAAATACAAAAATCTCTTGAAAAAGGATATGCAATTTGGTAAAGATTTTATATCCTTTTTCAAGAGACTTGTATTTATTTCATTCTGTAGTTAGAAGTTAAATCACTCAGTCCTGATACAATAACATGTTTTCTAAATGGTACAGAAATAAAATAAACCTAAATATGCAAAGAGGATAGTCCTACACAGTAATGCACTCCAAATTTCATGACCCACAGCAAGCAAAGATTTGGCCCAGTCAAAATTGTAAAGGTTAAAAAAAAAAAAAAAAACACATTTTGGATGGCGTAACATGTCTCCATGGAAAGGGCAGTATGCTGCCCAAAGAAATTATTTTGATAAAGACTTTATATGATAGAATGTACACAGTTGTTTTGGCTATACTTTTTTGTTACCAACATATTACGTCATTTATCATTAAAATTTATCAATAAAGCACCAAATCCCATGGCGCTGTACAATAGGTGAATTAAAACTAATTACAACAATAAAAGCTGAATATACAGGAACAGGAGATTCTCCTCAAACCTGCTTACATTCTAAAGGTGAGTTGGGCAAATGACAACAGGCAAGGGGAAGACATTCATGTAATGGAAAAGCAGGTTGCTAACGTTTACAATGAAAGTTTAGTTTTTTTGTGTTTTTTTTAAATATGACAGCTGCCGGAGAGAAGATGGGTTGGTGAGGTGTGGGGAATAAAAGCTGTTTACAGTTTAATTCATGTCCCTTCTTGAAGTTGTGAGTTTTCAGTGATTTAAAGGGAGACTAGGTGACAGTCTAGTGGAGCAGGGAAGTGGTTTTCCATAGGAACAGTGTAGCCCTAGAAAAGGGTCTGGTGGAGAGAGTCAGAGGTGTGAGCACGAACAGAGGTCTTCAGCAGAGTGTAGGGCCTTAATATGGCATACTTTTGTATTAGCGAGGATATTTAGATAGAAGCAGTGTTATGAAGAGATTAAGAGGATCAGAATTTTAAATTGAGCCCTGTATCTTATGGGAAGCCAATGTAGGGACTGTGAGGGGAAAGGCAGAGTGGGACAAAAGGAACATAAGCCTCTATGCAGCCATCATTATAAACTGTAGCAGGGCTAGTTGGCAGAAGCAGATTGCTGCAGTCAATGGGGTTGTTGAAAAGGGGCGAAGAACAGTATTTAAAGTGTGGAAGAGGTGTTTGGTTACGGGAGTGGTTTTCTTTGGTACAAGAAAATGCAAACTATTGCATGAATTTATACAGGTGGAAATCAGATATGCAAATATGTTGGAATACTTTACTGACTGGAGATTAAAATCTCTTTATTCAATGATGCTCCACCAGCTATGTCCATTTTAAAAAAAAGTTAATTTTAGTGATTTTGTTAAGCAAAGGATTTATTAACTCTCAGGATGTCTTACCTGTTCTGATATCATTCAAAGGGATGTCCATGCTACCAGACTTCTTATCTGCAAGACCAAAATACACAGATTAGACATCCCAAGAGTCAAGGAGAAGGGATATACTTAATGGTTGATTACCCACCATTTTTCTGATTCCGATCAATAAGCGGAAGAGTGCTATCATCATAACCTTGTGCACGAGTCGTCCCAGCAAGAGACACCTAAAAAACAAAACAAATAAAAACCATCAGATATAAGACCGTGGCAATTGTTAAGGGGGGGGGGGAATGACACCATTAACAGTGTTGGCAGATTTTTAGTTACCTGGAAATCTGTCTTTTTCCACCCTTCTTTCTCTAATGGTCTTCTCAGATCCTTATAACCCCAAACTGTTTGTAAGCAAAAACCTGCCGCACGTATCTCTCTGTCAGAGCGTCCACTATGGGAAAATAGTCAGTTAGAAAATATCGAAAATCCACTTTTACCTCAAACACCATCAGTTCCTGCTTAAAATGAAATCAATAATTAAGGGTTGTTTCACTGACCCTCCCTTGTTGATCAAAACCAGTCTTTCAATTCCTTGACTTTCTCTAAGCTTTTTTGCAGCTTCCAGATTACCAGTGATTACTTCCTGAATGACACCAAGAATGGCAACAGTAGTATCTTCTGACAATCCATATGACTGGGGAGATGAGCTGGGAAGCTGTGCCACAAGACTGTTGAGCGCATGCTTACCTACATGAAGGTACAATACAGAATACAATGAAAGTGAGTATTTTTGCAGCTAACAGGTAGGTGTACAAACCCCAGAAAAATATAAAAATGCAAGTTAACACTTCTTCAAATCTTCCAGAGCTATTCTGCCCTTTAAAGAGTATTTGTATGTATGTTTAGTTTTAAACCAAGTTAATCTGGGCCATCAACATTACTTGTGTTAGGTCAATTATTTGTTAAGTATCCCTATTGCATAGTTTTAAAACACTGCCCAAAACGTTGAGCAATGTATATGGTAACAAAAAACACTTGGATGTACACTTATGCATTCTATAGCGCTCTACATTTTTTTTATAACACGAGTTTGCACTTAAAATATCTGCCTTTCACCCATACAAAAAAATTAAGCTGCCTCACCAATCAGTTCTTTGTTCCGGCTGTCTCCACAGAGATTGCGCAATGCTCCACATACGGCACGTACAACACGCTCACTCTTGTTGTTCAGATGATCAGCCAGTAACGAAAGCCCTTTCTCCTGACGAACAGCAGCACGAATACAGCGGCCATACTGCGAGAGCGCACATACACCACAGAGCGTCAGACTACAGGGCAAGTATACATGCTAGGGTACGAACAGTTTAAAAGATACTATACTAGAAAATAATTCTCTCTTCATTATGATAGTGTATGAATAAAAAAAAAAAATTTAAAAAAACATTCTACACACGTGTAAAACATAACATTGTACGCAAATATAGCACACTGCAAGCATGAGCACACAAAAGCATTTACAAAATCATTAGCGCGAGAGTGAGTTCACAAAAAGGCACTCACAGTCCAATTTCCAGCACACAAGTTTTGAAGGGCTCCAGCTGCTGCTTCCAGCACCGCCTCTGTGCGAGAAGACTTTACAAGAGACACATAAAGCTGCACTAACTCTGGCTGAAAGAGAAGCTCATAACCTGGAGAGTGTTCACAAAGAATGGGGAGAAGGAGGGAGGGAAAAAAAAAATTTGAAGTTAGAAAAATGCATGTCAACAGTATAACAATATAGAGGTCTACTACTAGAATACTCCTTCCCAAACCACAACCAATGGACGAGTGGAGTAACAGTATATTGACTGGATTAAAAAAAAACAAACAAAAAAAAAAAAAAACAAGTTTGTTTTTAAAGAAATGTAAAAAAAAAAAAATACGAGTGTGGTGGTCTGCTGCATGCATATTTAAAGTAACACGATAGTCACCTAAATTACTTTAGCTAAATAAGTTTTAGTGTATAGATCATGTGTCGTCAATCTGGTCCCTACCGCCCACTAGTGGGCGTTTCAGGATTCCAGGTGGCCGGTAGGGATTTTCTCATTTGGAGAGATTGGGTGGGCATGAGCCGTCGGTACCCCTGCGACTGGGTACCGCAATCACCATTTGCGGCCCAGGCGGCAAACTGCCAGGGCCGCAATCCAAGGGGTCCATCAGGTGGCCCGGTCAGCGCTGGGCGATTTAACAGCGCGACCGGGCTCCCTGTGATTACATCACAGAGCTGGGAGGAAGTGACTGCACATCACTCCTCCCAGTTAACACTGAGAGCCGCGCGGGAGGAAGAGCAGGGGAGTCAGAGTGGGAACTCTAACTCCCATCCACCTGAGCCACCACTGGACCCCAGGGAAAGTCACCCTCCTGCACCTTAAATGTAGGAAGCAGGAGGGTGGCTTAAATATAATGTGTGTGTTTGTGTGTCTTTGTATGTATGTTTTGTGTGTGTGTGTATGTATGTATGTGTGTCTTATGTATGTGTCTTTGTATGCATTTGTGTCTTGTGTTGTGTGTGTCTTGTCTTTGTATGTGTGTCGTATGTATGTATGTATGTATGTATGTGTGTCTTATGAATATGTCTTTGTATGTATTTGTGTCGTGTTGTCTTTGTATGTATTTGTTGTGTGTGTATGTGTCTTTGTATGTATTTGTATGTATTTGTGTGTGTATGTGTCTTTGTATGTATTTGTTGTGTGTGTATGTGTCTTTGTATGTATGTATGTATGTGTGTGCGCCTGTCTGTTATAGTGGGCTATAGTAAGTGGGCTACCTAGCTCAGCCTTCCTACTGGGCATTGCTATAAGGGAAGTTAAAAAATAGAAGAAAAAAAAAGGAAGAAAAAAAATAAATAAATAAAAAGGTGGGGAGAGGAATTGAGGAGGGGAGCTGACGCACAGATGAGAAATCATATGCGCAAACAGAGAAGGCATCTGAATATCACCGAAAGAGGAGACCTTTGTTTGTTCCTTACAAAAATCGAACCAGATATCAAATATTTACTCTCGCAGCATCAACCTCAAGGATCTCATTAATCACTAGTAAAGGTAATTTCAATTTACTTTGTTTTCTCATTAAACTTCATAAAGTTAAAAACATTATAAACATGCATTAAGTAGAAATAAAAAGATAAATGTACGTACATTTTTTTTAAAACGCCCTCCTTTATAAAAAATATTCCGCACTTGCGCGAAAACTGGTGGGCGGTAAGGAATTTTTTCCATCAAGAAAGATACATTAGTGGGCGGTAGGAAGAAAAAGGTTGACTACCACTGGTATAGATCATTCCCCTGCTCATTTAGGAGTTAAATCACTTTGTTTCTGTTTATGCAGCCCTAGCCACACCTCCCCTGGCTATGATTGACAGAGCCTGCATGAAAAAAAAACTGGTTTCACTTTCAAACAGATGTAATTTACCTTAAATAATTGTATCTCAATCTCTAAATTGAACTTTAATCACATACAGGAGGCTCTTGCAGGGTCTAGCAAGCTATTAACATAGCAGGGGATAAGAAAATCTTAATTAAACAGAACTTGCAATAAAGAAAGCCTAAATAGGGCTCTCTTTACAGGAAGTGTTTATGGAAGGCTGTGCAAGTCACATGCAGGGAGGTGTGACTAGGGTTCATAAACAAAGGGATTTAACTCCTAAATGGCAGAGGATTGAGCAGTGAGGCTGCAGGGGCATGTTCTATACACCAAAACTGCTTCATTAAGCTAAAGTTGTTCAGGTGACTATAGTGTCCCTTTAAGAATTAAATGGGGGTGCATCCAAGTCACTGGAGAAAAAAAAACAAAAAAAAAAAACTAAACCCTTCATATTAAACAAACAAAAAAAAACCCAAAAAAAACACTTCACCTTGTGCTGGGGCTGTTCTCTTTGGAAAATCAACAGCATCTGCAGCATTCTCTTCTGAAGTCTTCTTGCCTGAAGTCACAAAACTTATGAATTTACAAAAAGATTGGGATAAACCTGTTCATTGACTATTCTGTTTACTATTAAAAACAGTCATGCATTTAGACTGGAAGAAAAGAAAGTTTAGTCTAAAGCAAAGGCATTTTTTTTTTTATTTACCGTAAGAAAAATAAGTATGAAATTCCCTGCCTGAAAATGAGGTTTTATCAAAGTCTGCACAGATGGTTAAAGAGCAATTGGATGCATACTTGTTAAAACATAACATTAAAGGATATACATTTTTAAATTGTGGGTAATAGCTTCTTGATCCAAGGATAAGTTGGACTGCCATTCTGGTGTCAATAAGATTCTCCCCTCCTCCCCAGTTTCTTGTAAAATTTAATGTGCTTCAAACTGGGTGTTTTGCCTTTTTTATGGATGAACAGCAAAAAACAAATGTGAGAAAGGCTGAACATGATGGACATCTCTTTTCGGCCTATGTAACCCCTGCAAACTCCTACAGTAAAAGAGCATGGGTGACTAGGGACAGGTACAGCAACAAATATTTCCTGCACTGGCAACATATGGAAGGGCATACTTTATTAGAAGAGCTCATTACCGGATACCAAATTATGCTGAAATACCTCATCAACCCTAGCAAGAGAAATATACAAGCTAGGGTTGTCAAAGTGATGATCCTAACTCTTGCATCACAACAGCACTGAATACTTAATCGCTAAATCTCACACATCAATATAAGTGGGGGGTGGAAAGAGCACCTTTTCCTCGTCGAACTCCAAAGCAACTTTGATTGCGGGGCTCAGCGGTGTTATTTTGTGGTGCTTCTTGGTATTTCTCAGCCTGTGGAATCTCACGGTGTATGTGGTATGATAGGTTCCTAAGCAGGCATACTACATTCTCCACAAGCTGAGGGAATAAGACCCAATGTTAAAATTATGTAATACAATGAAAATGCAAACTAAAAAACAACTCCAACTGATCTAGTTTATACAAATATACTGCACAGAACATATGGAGGGGAAGTTAATATGAATGATGGTTATCAGCTTTACAAATGCAGCAATCTTCAGCCATAAGACTGCAAATTAAGATGACAAAGGAGGAATGAACTAACTTTAGTACAAAGAACATGCTTGGCTACACATGTGGTGTCTCTTCCCTCTCCAGCTCAAGAAGAATGACACACACAGCCCCATTCAATAAACTAAATGGGATGAACTGTTCCAGTAAGACTGCCATCAGCTAGTTCATCACTGAGACCCAGAACATAAGTCTGAATAATACAGCCTGTAAACACCTGTTGTGAAGGTGTTTATGGAAATATCCTAGTCTGCAGAACCAAATGAGAATCACCTATGTGGCAAAGTATTTCCTGGTCTTTAAGGGGTTCTGGTGCTGGTCTGTAAATTAGAAGTAACAGCATGAACATTAAAAGGGAGTATATTTTTTTTCAGCCTGAAATGTCTCAAACTGACAATGTTTAGTAGCTTGTTACCTTGCAAGCAAATTGGATTTTGCCTACTGCTCCTCTCTAGCTACCAAATGCAAATTAGCATATTGGCTAGTGCAAAATAAACAACTCACCTTACGGTCTACTTGCTTGTTGCTTATCTCAGACCGAAGAATGTAAACAACAGAGTCCACTAGTCCCTCACACTCTCTCATCTTCCTGCGTGCCTCAGAGCGCTCAGAGGAAATGTTTCTTTAAAAAAAATAAAAAAAAATAAACGAACAATTACCTGACACTGACCCAAAGAGAAAAAAAAAAAAAAAAGTGTCCATTAAAACAACAACATATATTCCCTCACCTTAGACAGCCAGTAGTGTTAACCAGGGCTTGCTCCCACTCAATATTTCTGGGCTTCCCCTCTTCTCCATCCTGCACACCTCCATCTCGTTGCCACCCAGAGTGAGGGACAAGTATTTCCTGAGTGAGCGTGTTTAAAGCCTGATCAACAAGCTCCATCTTTATGGAGTCCAAAGAAGACAGGTTCCAAAGAGTGCCTTTTCATCGCAAAAACACAAGGGAAAGGGGAAGTTATATCAGTACAGAAAACTGTCTTCAATCACAAACCCATTACCAGTCCCTCCCAACAAGGGATATACTAAATTACATCAAAGTAAAGATCCCTTTAGGTAAACATCTTTTATGTCATATGGATTTGAAAATAGAGAGTGCCAGCATTCAAGCTAGTAGTTTACAGTCTATATTTGTATAATATACCAATTTTTTTTTTTTATGTATATATTTTGCCCAAAGACCAACCTGAAAAAATTAAACCCTAAAACAGAATCACAGCATATTAAACTTCTAAATACAAATAAAAACACACCATATTACCCATCTCATGCAGTCACACAGAAACTACAAGAATACTCTAAGACAGATACACCGCTTTTATGCAAAGATCATTCCACTGATTAACAACTTGATGCAGACAGATATGTACTTTACACAAAGCCAGTGTTATATTCTCTCATATCACACATTCCCCATGACTTCATCCAAGGCTTTAAAGAAGGGCTGTCCAACCTGCTGCCCCCCAGATGTTGCTGAACAACTCCCATGATTCCCTGGCTATTTCATTGAAAGAATCATGGTAGTTGTAGTTCAGCAACATCTGGAGGGCCGCAGGTTGGACAGAACTGCTGTAAAGCAAATCCTGACTGTCTCTGCATTTCTACAAAATAGTTCTGGCTATACATTCTTTGAACTACAAACAGAAAGAAAAAAAAAAAAAAGTAATGTGAAAAAATGTTAATAAGCTTATCTCGAGTATTGTTCCTTGTTAAATCAAAAAAAATACACATATCACACCTTAAAACATTTCAATGCCTTTATACATATTAAAGTGTAGGAGAGCAAAAACCAACATAATTGCAGGCATTCCACACACACTGAACTTCAGATAAATTACTTCATACACTAACCACACCCTAGTTCTTTATCTCCATAGTTAGTCACCAGCTCTGTGCATTACCCTTTTCCCTGTTTGTATTCAAATTTTTATTTATTTTTTGAATGGTTTCCTTCTTAAAAACTCCCTAGCCATTAAGCACATATATGCTTTAACTCTTAATCTAACCAACCTCATATGACCTCAATGTCCAATCAAGGCTGCTGAAAACATACAAAGGGTATAAATCACATATGCCTGAAAAAGTTATATGAAAAGAATTTTATTTATTTTTTTTTTAAAAAGGCGCACACGCAATCACGTTCACTGAATTCAGGGAAAGAATTTGATGTACACTGCCTACAAAAAGAAATATGTTCGCAAATAAATTTCCAGTTCTTTGCATGTGTGCTCAGCTTGTTTACCATAAGCTGCATCAAATGCTAAAATCAACTTTTGTCAGAGCATCTTTCCATTATCTGACAATTTCATACACACATTTTCGGTTTAATTTTATAACCTACCAGTTACACACTCTGCCATTTCTCTCCCCTCTCTGCCTTCCCCTCGCCTCCTTAACAGTCTCCCTAATGCTGGAACTCCATCACAGTTTTTCACTGCCATCTTATTCTCCTTTGCGGGACCATAAGAAAGATTCTTGAGTGCTCCACATGCTGCAAGTCTGACAGGGGCTCGTGGGTCTTCCAGTAGACTTATAAGAGGGGGTATTCCACGTAGGCGACATACCTGAGAAGAAGGCGGAAATCATGAAAATTCTACACCTTGGAGAACAGGACAAATGAACACTATAATTTAGTCACTGATAAAACTTGAAGAAATAGTTTAGCACTACTTTATAGTAACAGAATCGGCACCAAAACAACTTGAGCTAAACAAAGCAGTTTGGGTTTATAGATCATGCATCTGAAGTTTCACTGCTCAGTTCTCTGCTACTTAAGAATTAAATCACTTGTTTCTGTCCATGCAGCCCTAGCCACACCTTCTCTGGGGCTGTGACAGTCTACAAAGAAAATAAAAATAAAGAGTTTAACAAATCGGATGTTAGACTTCCTTTAGTTTTTAATCTTCCGCTATGTAAATTGAACTTTAATCACACACGAAGCACCTGCAGGGTCTAGAAAGTTATTACCAGAGGAGGAGACAGGAAATTTTAAATTAAACAAAATGTGCAATAAACATTAGGATGCTTAAAAATTAGATCTCTTTACAGAAAGTGTTAAAGAAGTCTGAGTGAGTCACACACAGCGAGGTGTGGCAAGGGCTATATAAAGTAATTTAACTCCTAAATGACAGAACTGAGCAGTGAAACCGCTGGGGCATGATCCATACCTAACTGACTCATTAAGCTAAAGTTGATTTAGTGCCTGTAGTGTCCCTTTAAATAATATACTCATATTGTGACTTCACACAAAAGTGGCAATAGTCATTTAATTATTTTTGCCGTGTATAAGAGTACATGCCCCAACATGAGCAAGCACATCTAAAAAACAAACAGCGGTTTAGCGCATAATAAAACTGCACAATTCTTAGGGTATAATAGACAAGAGTATCATACTAATTAAACATGTCTAGCTGTTAGGCAGAATATGAGCTATACCCAGTCAAATTAAACATTTATGGCTAAATATAAATCAGAAACAGCTCTGAGACAGAACTAACTAGACCTGTGGAGTATTTATAAATCTGAGTACACAGAAAGCATGCTATAGGTTTATTGAAAAGTGGCAATATTTTGACCTAATGCGTTCGTCTTTTGAACATCATAATGAATGGTAACAAAAATAACGGGATACCGAATAAATAACGACATAGGAAAAGCATGTAATGAAAAATTTGCCTGGTAATTAGTGGTTGCCAAATGGTAAATTTATGCATTTGTAAATACACAAGACAATTTTTTTTTTTTTTTTTAAACCAGTAAAAAAAAAAAAGCAGCAAGCATACATATATTGTAAAGAAAACCAACCTCTTTCTTGACATCCTCATTCCGATAGGAAAGATGCTGCAAATAGGCAGCTGCATTTAATCTCACAGCATCCAGAGTGTAGCTAAGCATTGCTATGACCTCTGGTAATTCTGGCTGACGCCAAGTTCCACTACTGGGGGCAAGACCCAAAGGAGCAGGTCCAAGGCTCGAGAGGCTGCCTGAGGCAGGTAGAGTAGACCCATAGTGATCAGAGAGAGGATCTTCATAACTCCTAAAAGCAGCCATTAGGATTAAAATATCAGAATATGGTCAACATCACATTTTCTTAATAAATCCTTATGAAAATACTGCAATCAACTTTACCTATACATCAGTCTATAAAAAGGCAGTTACTGCACCTTCCTCACCTCAGCCTCCTGCGTGGGTCACCTCCATTAGCTCCTCTCCTTCCCATTGTGGAATAGTCAGGGCCATCTACATAACCACCAAGGCTTCTACGATCATCTTCCATTCCATAGGCATCTTCAGATCCATATCCCCGGCCAGCAAGCAAATCAGACTGGCTACCGCCAAAGCCACCCCCTCTCACTTGTGGTTGAGGCCCATAACCTGGAGCTCTGTAAGGTTCCACAGTGCGGTATCTCTGATTGGGCCTAGATAAACTGCTGTACCCAGGATGTTGCTGGGGAGGAATCAATTGCATTGGCTCTGCACCTGGGCCTCGAAAATGGTAATTTCTGGGTACAGTCGTGTATGCACCACCCCCTCCAACTTGATCTCGATATGGACGATCTAACGTTTGTGAGTATCCAACAGATGGTTTTATCTACAAAGTAACATAATAGGGTGAATACTAAAATGTAGAGCTATAAAAAAGCCAAAAGATAGAAAAATGAGGATCTGTGAAAAATCGGTGTGGGTAAATAGCAGAAATGTGTCACAAAGGAAGCATTTTGAGAAAAACTGTAGATACACTTTCAAAATGCAGTCAGATGCTGTGTCCACCTCTAGGAGAAGTCAAAAGAAGAGCAAGCAGCTTATGCTGTTGTCAGTATATTTAGGTCCTTACTAACAGGCCATCTTAAATAGTAAAATGGACCATTGCCTTTTGAAAAAGTAAAAAAAAAAAAAATATATTTTTTTCCCCCTCAAGGATCAACAATCTTATAACAAGGTCCTTAAACTCCAAGTAGGGCAAAATGGGTGTCTCCAGTGGTTGTAACAAGGACTTTAGGGTTAAATTACTAAACAGTGAATTCATGTAAACTGAAGACTGCCAATATTATTAACCCAGGGGAGAACACTATGGAGCTTTAGGAATACAAACAAAACCAAAAATACCTAACTCATTTTTCTTCTATATATGGTTTACTTACCTACTGCAATGTCCAAACCAGAGATCCATAAAGGAACAATGGGGACCTAATACAGTGAGCATATTTACGCTACCCCAAAGGAAAGCAATGAATGAATACTGTCATCACGTGACAGCTTTACACAGCGGGAGTTAATCCAGTGGTTGTCATACTGACAGCCACTAGAAGTGGACTTTACCCTGCAATGAAAAGATGGTAGTTTCTAAATAAAACTGCAATATTTTTCACTGCAGCATTGAAAAGGACAGGACCACTTTGGCGTTAAATTTGAATTATGACTTGTGAATAGCTCCATAAATTACAAAATGCTGGAGAAACAGATAAATACTAACCAGGGTTCAAATTCTCAAATGCTTTGTTGAATTGCATAGGTGTGTGTCTGTATAGCCTAGTTTTAAACCAATTGTCACACAAAAAAAAAAAAAATTAACATTTTTATTTATTACTCGATAAAAAAAAAGTTTTAGACTTCAGAATTGTCAGATTAGATTTTTTACATGCTGAAATTCTTTTTAAAAACCCAGTTAGCTCTGGGGGGCGGAGCCTGGCTGTGGAGCTGATCAGACGTGTGCAGCATGAGCTCCCGTCTGAATTCTTACTTTAAGCAAAATAAACCCGGCTCTCAAGCTACAAAATCACCCAGAATTGCACCACCTGAGTAGGGGATACAAGGGAGACCACAACGAGACTACTCTCACAATGCTGAGCCACCGGGAATGCGGGCTGCACCAATAAGTTGCCTAATAATTATGCACACCTGATAAAGTGTGTTGAAGTCATTAGACCACACCTCTTCTCATTACAGAGATGCACATCACCTAATATGCTTAATTGGTAGTAGGCTTTCGAGCCTATACAGCTTGGAGTAAGACAACATGCATAAAGAGGATGATGTGGTCAAAATACTCATTTGCCTAATAATTCTGCACTCCCTGTATGCAGAAGACTCAGTGCTGTGAGTTTAATAGTTAGGAGCAAAGGAGTAAATCCAAGCACAGTGAGATAGGACTGTTGGGAGTCCATTATAAACTATGCATTAGTTTTATCCCTACAGAAGTTAGCATTTTTTCTATGACAAATGACACTGCAGCAGGGGTTAGATGATCTATGTGTTTAGCCTGTTCTAGCTTGTTAAATCAAAGTTTTGGTTTTAAACTATATTTCACTTTATTTATTTCTCTATCACCTCTTTATTCACTCTACTGAGTTATTGTGCATTAGTTATTCACTTCCGCTTTTGATCCACAGCGTTTTCCATGGGGATGTGTACAAACATTGCAGAGACAACAACGTGTTTGCTACATCATCACGCATGGACCGTGGGTCAGCGTGAGTTCACTCAGTGGGGTGTGCATGCACAGTGTACGCCGGAGATTATACACTGCACCAGGGCTAAATCACTTAATTATAATGTATTTCGCTATATATTTGAAGTAATTTGATGTCATTATCATATCACTTGATCCCGAGGAAGGTCCCTGTGCGGACTGAAACGTCGATTTTTTCTACTTGTTTGATGAAATAAATACTAATGAATTCAAGAGTCCGTGAGTGCAGCCTGCATTTTACACACACACGCAGTGTCTGAAGTCATTTGTTTTTCTTGACACAATTTGTTGGACTTTTTAATAAAGAAGCTAAATTATTTTGTTGAACAGTGTTTGGGTCACATTTTAAATGCTTCTAAGTGCATTCCATTAAAAACAAAGTGGAACACAATCTATATGAAAGCATTATGTCATAACAGAAAGTGAGCGGAAGTAGTTATGGTGCTTTGAAAAATTACCAGAACTTCCGATTACTAAACTCAATCCCTACCTTAAAACCCACTTATATACCTCATGTTAAGCACTACAAGGAACCATACACCCTGCTGCTCCATTCCCACTCTTGTGCCCGTTACTTTATCATTTTGTAGTTCCTACAGCTTGCCCCATAGTTTTCAATTGTTATACTTCTTCTGAAAGAAAATTGAGTGATTGTTGAAAAAATGTATGGGGTCAAAATTAGAAGTGAACATTTTAAAATGGCCCCAAGATGAACAATTGAGTGAATGTAATTTGAGAATTCTGGACTTACTGCAATATCAACGCTCCGGGGATCATCGGACATACTGTAGGATAGATAGGAGTGATCCTCATCCAGTGCATAGCTTTCATCTGCAGGTAGCAGCTGGTGGCCCTCCATCCTAATTGGGGAGTACACAACTGGTGGCCGATCCTGCAGTATAGAGATGAAGAGTTAAGACCATGTTATTAAGATATTTCTCAGTCACTCATTTTAAGGGATGCACCAAAATGAAAATTCTAGGCCGAAGCCGAAAATTCAGGATGCCCTTGGCTGAAAACCGAAACAGTCTTTTTCCCCTAAATGATTTAAAAAAAAAACAAAAAAAAAAAAACACAAACAAACAAAACAAAGTTTCCCCCCTCCCCCTATAATTTTATGTGGGGCCTTCTCTTTTAGTGCAGCCCCCCCCCCCTGTCCCATAGTGTTCTTATCTTCCCCACTGTCAAGTGCAGTATTCTTGACTTTTCATGTTATCATTACCATCTTTAATTGTGATATATAATAATCTGAATTGTTAATGCAAGCAAGTCTGTTCAAAAAAAATTTATTTTTTTTTTTAAATGTACATTTCGGCAAATTTGACCAGTTTTCGGCAGAAAATTTCGGTGCATCCCTATTCATTTTGGTTTTAATGCTCAAAATGATGCTTTGGCATGTACTTTTAATTCTACTTGTGTATCAAATCACCAACTTCGCATCCATCTGCTCACGTGCATGACTGATGTTAAAATCAGGACAACTGCACTAATTTAATAGAGGGCAATACGAATACTTGCACACTATTGCACAGAGGTCTCAAGGCCATGCTAACAGGTTTGACCAGGATAGCGCTGAAATAAGAATACTAGAAGTGTGTGAGACCTGGAATAACTATCATGGTTTTAAGACCGTGGCCAGCAGTAGAGCAGTAATCACCTGCACTGTTTGTTCCAGTCTGTCTCAATACTAAAGTTCCATCAATATGAGGTGTTCAGTACAGAGGCTAGCAAATGTACACAAGTGGAAGTAGCCTCCACCAAGAGCTCAGCCATGCTGCAGATGCTTGGAAAGAGGTGGGAGAGTATTGCATGTATATGTGCAGCTGTGTAAGCTCGAGAGTTCAAATCTGCAGCCCTCATGAAGGAGGACTTAAGATGATTTTAAGATCCCTGTCGTAGCATCACTTTGACAGGCTTCATTGGTCAAGCTCTCCTTTTGGATTGTAATTAACTTTTGTGAGCCATCGATGCCATTCTTATATCCTCCCCAGTCCCTTCCCCCAAATGTCAAACCAGGTTAAAAAAAAATAAATAAAAAAAAATAATAATTTCAAGTCGCAACTAGAAAGTGAAAATTTACCACTGGTAAGTAGAAATTTACACTCCAAGCTTTCAGTGGCAAGTGACCTGGCTAATAGCATAGTACATTAAATTTTAAATCCTGGTAAATCAATATTCACCTTATTTGTATTACTGGATAATAGGGTGCCTTTTCATGGACTAAATTATTAAGTTCTAAAATAAGTGACAAAAGGCCAAAATAGAAGATTTGCCTGAAACTTTGATATAAAAAAAAATAAAAAAAAAATAAATTTAGATAAGTTATTAAAATCTGCCTGAACCATACTAGTTGCTTGGTCACAGTATGTATGGGTCGCACATGCCATGCATTAAACAGGACTACCTCCCACCTCATGTTACCTGCTGGCGACGGGTGAGGGTGCCATTGGCGATTGGGGGGGTAGGTTCCTGTGGAGTCACCCACACCCGGTCCAGCTGAGCAGTGACGTGTCTCCTCTCTTCTTCCAGAGCACGAGACAGCAGTTCAAACTGTGCCTCCTGTGCTCGCACTGAGGCCAGGATACTGGCCGGGCTGTCAGACTCTGGCTCATCCATAAGTAGGAAAGAGACCCTCAGCTGGAAATGGAGGGCAACACAGAAGAGAAAAAGAGAAATACACCAAATTAAAACCAGCCATTAGCGAGAGAAAGAACCACAAACCCATAGAAGATTCTCACTCCTGGCTGCATGTCTAATAAAAGTAGTGTGCCTCTATTTATAAACTCAATTGCAACCAGGAGTAAGAGGCAGAGAAATCTAAGAAAAGCATCAGTCTTGATTGATAGAGAAGAGTAGAAAGATGGTTTTAAAAAAAGAGGAAACAGTTCAGGAAAAGGTTGAATGAAGCAATACTGTAGATACAAGTAGTAGACGGCAAACCACCACTATATGCATGAAGTGATATGGATGTTTAAAGACAGGGCCACTAAGCCGCATAGCCACGTTACTGTATTAGTTGCTGGAATGGAGTCTTCAGGTACAGTTTTTTCAGCTTTTATCAAAACCTTTGAGCAGTTTGACACCTCTTAGAACTCAAAGCACACCTCTTCTATTGTTGCCAACACTAAATTAAGCAGTATCAGTTAGAGTGCTTAAAACGTCCCTTTAACCTCTTAAGGACACGACATGTGTGACATGTCATGATTCCCTTTTATTCCAGAAGTTTGGTCCTTAGGGGGTTAAGCATGTATGGTTGAAGTTGGTGCAAGCATGATTGTGTTACATATAGAGGAATGCGAAGCAAAAAGTGCATTACTGTGTAAGTAATGTTAATGCACAAAATGTGCTCCAATGCGATGGGGGAAGCAACAGACTTATGGAAAATAAAAGCTACCACTCATTGTAGTGGTTATGGTGCAGAGCTCATTTATAAAGATAGCATGCATGTTGATATTGTGTAACCCTTGAAATGATATCCAAGAATTCATTAAGTGCAATATACTTAAAAACTCATTTAGGGACCAAACTACATACAGCCAGCAATACATAACAGCATTCTTCCAACCATTCAACCTACTGTACTTATCCTAAGTCAGAAACATTTGTACTCCTTTTACCAGAGAGCATCAATAATATAGTAAACATATTGCACAATGTGCATTTAGCATTTTGGTTCAGTGTTAGATTTAAAAAAAGGTTTACTACAGCAAAGGCTTCTGATAACTGCTAAACTCACTAATCCAGAAACAGACACTACAAATGTCTACCAACCTTCCCAATATATATATATATATATATATATATATATATATATATATATATATATATATATATATATATATATATATATATACACACACACACCATATACTATATACACACACACACCATCTGAATAAATGATTAAAGATGGTGATATCAACACTGCTGTCTGTTATACTAATTATAGATAGATTTATTCTGCTTTGTGACTAAATCCTTTAAAAATCGGTTGTAAAAAAATAAATATGAATTTGGCAGCTATTCAACACTGTCTATGAGATTGCTAAAATTGCCATGCTGAGACTACAGAATGCTGCCCTGTATTTAAATCTGTACTACTAATGGAGTTCTAAGGCCAAACTGGTATTTCCAGTAAAAAGAGGCAACTTAAAAAAATGCTAGAATCCCAGGCGTCAGGTCGCCCTGGTACCTCGGTATTGGTCATCCCATTCAGCCCTGGTGCTGGGTATTTGTCAGCCCGTTCAGCAGAGGCAAGCCCACCAAGGGAGCATAGAGGTCTGGCAGTGATGCCGGGATATGATGTCCTTGGGGCTCCGGCATCACAAAACAGCACTTGAGAGCTTGAAAATTATAGCAGCCCACGTGAGCCCAGGAAAATAATCCACTCCAGATCTCCCAAAGGTAGGTAAGTTGGGTAGACAAAAAAAAAAAAAAAATGTGAGAGAGGTTGTGTGTCAGAGTGTGTTTTAAATCAGCAAGTGTATGTCTGTCAGCATGTTTCAGTGACAGCCCCCCCACGCCTCCATTGCTGAGATTCAATCTTCAAGATCTCAGCCAAGCCAATGGTTTCCCTTAAGAAAGCTCTAGCGCATGCACTGCAAAAAGACATTCTGTGCCAATCAACATCTCCTCATAGAGTTGTATTGAATATTGGTGCTGCACACTGCAGCACTAGACTAGGAATTACCTATAGTGGCCATCTGAGTGACTGTCAGTAGAGGTGTTCCTAAGCAGCTCTGAAAGGGCAATGTTTACATTGAAAAACCTGCAGGAACATGCTATATAGACCAGAACCACTACATTAAACTATTTGTTCTGCTGACAATAGTGTCCCTTTAAGATTGTATTTTGTCCAAGCAAGTTTGTTAAGCCCAGTCTTACAACATTAAGTGTGCTTATGTGTGTTTGAATAAAGACAGGCAAGTGTGACACACTGCAGTTTAAAATAAAATAAAAAGTTTATATATATTTTCATTTAAAATACCTGTCACCTCCTGCTTTAAAAAAAAAAAAAAAACACACACACACACACACACCCCGACCTTAGTCCTGCAATGTGTCATACACCACCTACTTACTGCAACCCTTGTACTATGAGGCAGTACACACCCTTAGTGCAGTTTTCTGCATATCAAGCTGCATGCAACACTATAGTCATTCCTACATTCACATGAATACTGCATCAGACATTTATACAGATATGTCAGACACTAAGTAGATCTCACTGAAATATGGTTCTTTAAGTGCTGAACACCAAGTAGTAAGTCACTAAGTTAATAAAAAAAAAAAGTCAAACAAGTAGCTAAAAACTAAATGGGTCCATCAACTATTTTCATTTACTCCACAGAAGAAAGGTGATTCACAACCTAGAAACTTTGAGGTGCAGGAACAGTGTAGATGTGCAACTGTATACAGATTACATCTATCCGAGGAGTCATCTCTGGTTTAAAATTATAGGAAAGATTCAGCACAGATTGATACATAGTATCACTGACAGAAAGTGGCCCATAGCCAAGAACAGAGGAAGCTGTGAGGGAAGCAAAAAAAAAAAAAAAATTAAATATATATTTCTGCACAGGAACAAACTCAAAAACAAAAGCAGGAAACTGCATTTTATGTTTAAATGCTTGACTCTAGCTACCTCCTCCACCCAATCACATAACGTACATTAAAGGACCACTATAGTGCCAGGAAAACACTTGTTAATCCCTTACATTTGTCCAGCGCCGGGCTCCCTCGGCGTTGGGACTCTCCTCCCTCTTCGGATGTCATCGGCTGAATGCGCAGGCGCGGCGAGAGCCGCGCACGCATTCTCAATGCTTTCCTATGGACACTGGCATCTTCTCACTGAAAAATCACAGTGAGAAGCGCCTCTAGCGGCTGTCAATGAGACAGCCACTAGAGGCTGGATTAACCCTAAAGTAAACATAGTTTCTCTGAAACTGCTATGTTTACAGCAAAAAGGGTTAAACCTAGCTGGACCTGGCACCCAGACCACATCATTAAGCTGAAGTGGTCTAGGTGCCTATAGTGGTCCTTTAAGTGCTATACATAATGTACACAATTTAGCAAAATACCACCACTGCAAGGGGGTAGTGGGGGCAAATGCATGAAAGCAACATCATATTCAAGGAGTAAGCCATTTCTATTCTAAGGAATATCACTTTAAGCAGCTATCCCACTTCTGAAAATTTCATAAAACATGTAGGAATATTCATAGATAAGAACAAAGTGGTTGAGGTGTAGTGGTCCTGTCATTTTAAACCTGAAATAGTGGAGAGGAAAAAAAAAAAAAACAGTTTACGTAAAAACTGCAGCTTTTACATAGAACTTTTAAACATAGCTTTAGCAGCCGTCTGGAAGACACCATGCATACGTATAAATTTCCAATGCTCCTTAATGAGGACTGTGGAGAAATAGGTGGTTCCTGCCATTGTAAGATAAGTTCAATTGAGGATCCATGGGGACTCCATAGACCTCTGTATTGCACTTTGACATATGAGAATGTAATAGAGTAGATAGTATCTGTAAGAAAGCTTCATGTATATTTGTCTTTAGCCACTCCACTGACTGGTTAATATAAGCAGGCATGTGACTTTTCTAACAACCTCTTTAGGGTAATTTCATTTAGAATCTCTTTAGCATGCATAACACAGTGAAGCAACATAAAAAGTACACACACACACACACGTTCAATTTATCCCATATTATATACTTCTCCTGAAATAGTTGATCTACATGGAACAAAGGTCATAAATCCATGCCCCTCCAGCCAACAGCTAGTGGAGGGAAAATGTAGCCTAATACCTGCAGGGTAAGAATAGTCAAGTTAATTACTCCAATGCTTGTAAATATCCAGCGTCTAAGGTAAACGTGTATCATGTTTGTCTTAGAATTTATACTCAAACTTTTGCTTTCCCCAGAATATATTCAATTTGAATATTTTTTTCCCCCCTTCTTAAGTGGGAAAAATGTTCCAGTTGTAAAAGACCAGATCTGCATAAATACAATGTGGGAATAGGATAACAACCCATATGCGGACATAAAGATCTGTTTTACAATATAGTAAGTCATTGCCAAAGTAGTAGCAAAAATTGGGATAAAACTTTTTTTTTTTTTTTATGTTTACTCGTGCTTATTTGCATTTCAAGCATGGCATACTGGGGGCATTGTGAAAATAATCCTATGTCCAAGGCAGACCCTGTAGAATTGTAATGAGGAAATTGAGTTTGAAACTTGGAAAAGGAGAGTATGACCAAATCAAAATATAACACGTATTCATAACCCATTTACTGCTCTCATAACATTGTAAGTTTTACTACCTACCCAGTTTTGCAAGTGCAAACAACAAGCACTTAAAAACAGAACCAGCACTACTTGACTTGCCAGGGCTGATCCAAAAAAAAAATAAAAACACACACCACTGGATTCCTGCAGCATGTACAGACAGGTTTGCCTTCTACACAACAAAACTAGTGGAGAAGTAAACGGATCGTTTAGATTATAATAAATGGAGTGGGATGTTCCATAAGTTAAAATAACTTAAAGATAGTCTAAAAAAAAAAAAAAAATAAAAAAAAAACTTGCATTACAAGACCATTTACACAGGTTTGAATTAGTAACTAAATTGCCAAAGGTCCCCAATTAAAATCTCCAGTAACAAAAGATCCCCATGGCATCCAGCAGAGATCAGTGTCTAGGCTGCATTTCAGATACACAGTAAATAGCCTAGGGCTGGGTGCAGTATGCAAATACAGAAAATAACAATGTTTACTTATCCCACATAACTAAAAATTCCTAGAGTGTTTAGAAGTGCACAAAAAAAATTCTCTCATCTGGAAAAAAACTTCAGTAGGCCAAAAATGCCACCCCACAACCATGGGCCTAATAAATGATAGGGGTTTTTCCTTATAACCAGTGAGCATAAGGCTATTGAGCAACAGCACTACATTAATATAATCACTTTTCACCAAACTTTTGAGGATTGCATGTTCATATATAATTACAAGTATAGGAGTGGGAGTAAAACTTTCAAAAAGTAATTAAAATGCTTTCCTATGAGCTGAATTAAACCAAGTTTCACTCTTTTGCTGCATAATAAGACAGCAACTGGAGTTGTGTTTAACAGTCAGATGTAAACATTACAGTTTCTACAAAATTGCAATACATTGCAGGGTTAAAGACTTCAGGGCCAATGCACACAGACCACTTCATTAAAGGACCACTCTAGGCACCCAGACCACTTCAGCTTAATGAAGTGGTCTGGGTGCCAGGTCCTTCTAGGGTTAACCCATTCTTTCATAATTATAGCAGTTTCAGAGAAACTGCTATAATTATGAATGGGTTAAGCCTTCCCCCTAATCCTCTAGTGGCTGTCTCATTGACAGCCACTAGAGGCGCTTGCGTGCTTCTCACTGTGAAAATCACAGTGAGAGCATGCAAGCGTCCATAGGAAAGCATTGCAAATGCTTTCCTATGCGACGGGCTGAATGCGCGCGCAGCTCTTGCTGCGCATGCGCATTCATCCGGCGGGGCGGATCGGAGGCGGAGAGGAGGAGGAGAGCTCTCCGCCCAGCGCTGGAAAAAGGTAAGTTATTACCCCTTTCCCCCTTCCAGAGCCGGGCGGGAGGGGGTCCCTGAGGGTGGGGGCACCCTCAGGGCACTATAGTGCCAGGAAAACGAGTATGTTTTCCTGGCACTATAGTGGTCCTTTAAGATAAAGTAGTCTGGGTGCATTTAAAATAGGTTTTATTTAAATTGGTCACTTATTGCCATAAAACAGGTGCCTGCTAGAACTACATACTGGTAAGAGTACCAGGAAGTGGTTTTTTCCCCCCCAGTTTCAACCCACAGTAAAGGTGGTACATAATCAAGGGCAGAAAAAAAAAATAAAAAAAAATAAATGTTTATCAGTGATCAACAAAATATTCAAAAGTGACCTGTCACTTTCTTGGATTTTAAATATTACTTTTCCCTATAGCCAATATATAGTCATGACAGCTCTTAAAATTTGAAGTCCTATGAACAGGCCTTCGCCACATCATGCACACAACAGGGGGTATAATGATCCCCCTCCCCGGCCACAGGGGGGGGGATACACAGAACAGGTTATTTACTAAATTAAATGGGGAACAAGAAAAAATTAAAAAAAACAAAAATAAAAAAAATAAAAAACAGCTGGTCTGGGGAAACGTTTTTCAAATAAAAATTAAAATAAAGAAATTTTAAATTTGCAAAAATTGGGAGTTTATGGTCTTGTTCCCCCTTGCTCTCACCAATCCATTAACTGTACATTTCTCTACACAACCTCCTCGCAGGGTCCAGCGCTCACCAAGTCTACACTGACTCACCAAAGAATTCAGCGTCCACGAATGTGTCCAATTAATGGAAGCCTAGAGCCATGCGCTAAACCCTGACGCTTAGTCCCAGCAGGGCTAAATGCCCAGTCTGCCTAGCTCCGAGAACTGCATGCCGTGGGCAATACAAATTCCACCCCCTGATTAAGCAGTGTCATTCAAAGGGGAACTGCATATTCGTGGTAAAGGGTCAAATGTAATCATGCCATGGCTATGACTCAGTCTTCATATACACTTCCTCAAAGAAAATAATTTCTTATTTTCAAACCTCTCATAGTATGTCTACTCTTAAAATCGCTTGCTTGTGTAAAGCATCCTCCTGTGTGATATTAGCTGAAGACCTCAAAACCTCAGAGAAACTGGTCTGCACTTGTTAAAGAACCAAATTGTTGAATCTAACTTTACCCAGCATAATACGAGTATGTTTTGTAGATAGTGGGGAAGAAGGGGTTGCCAATACATTTCCTGTTTTATAGCTTCCAAACATGCTTATTGTGCAAAATACCTCCCTTTGATTGGACACTGCCTATGGACAAACAAGGAAGTTTGTACAGAGTAAAAATGGGGTAGGGACCAGCAAAGCAGTAGAACATACTGATGAGGTGGGATTTTAGGGAATTTGGAAATTAATTTTGAAAATGTATATTTTTCTATTCACCGCTTTGTCCCGGTGTATTACAAAAGTATTGTATTTTTAAGCCGGTCTTTCCCTTTAGAACAGGCAAACAAAATTGCTGGTAAAAGTAGCACACTGAAACAGACTTGTGTGGACAGCTTCTAATATAAAATAGACCAGGAAAGTAGTATTCACTTCAGTAGCTCAGCAAGTAGGAAAGGCGTTTACTTTAAAAGAATTTTGCACAATTTACTGATAAGAGTGAGAAAGACAACCTGCATCTAATAAAGTCCAAATACACAAAATTTTCCAAGCTGAGTATATATTTTGTTTTTCTAACACTTCACCTACTTTTAAAAGCTCTTCACAAAATATTTAAAAGCAACTCAAGATAAACATTCACAAAATAACCTCTGTCCAATTCAGTTATGTTAAGAACTCATTTTCTTTTGTAGAAGGGTTGTGTAGTATTATAAAAACAATTTCTACTTGCCCAAGGGTCTAAAGTGGTAGCCCAGTCCGGACGCAAAATTCAATTAAAAATGATTAGGGTGCCTGCCAAAATCCCTGGGAACTGGCATGGCTCTTTGTTCAACTTTGAAGTTTAACACAATAAATCTGAAAGGAAAAATGAAGGCAAAAATAGCCAGTGTGGAAAAACTAACTAGTATAGTCACAACATGGCTATATTTGCCATTTAGATTTAATTTACAATAATTTGTAATTATTCAGTGACCTAACCTCTGCCATACCACATAGTTTTCATAGTGTGTGCAATGTATGTTTGGTGACTCAGAGACCAGTGAGCGCACTGAATTTTTCACATGTGAGCATTGATCAAATTTGTTGATGGTCTTAGGGACATATTATAGATATAACCCTGAATTTTGATGGAGAGTTTACAGGATCTTGTGTCTTAAAATGTGAATACGAAATTACAAATTTTAGACCATGTGATCTAGTTTATACTATGCATTCCATGTAATTAGAATTAAAAATACACTATTTTGCAGGAGTTGTGTGAGGTTTTTTTTTTTAAATATATTTTTTCTTTGAAATGAGCTTCAGAGACTGACAGAGACCCAGTCAAAGGGGCAAACCACCGCTAAATGTTTACACTGCAGCTCTAAGCCACAACGGAGGCACTTCCTGGATCCAAATAGACCTTTGTTTCAGTAACAGACGCTATGCATGAAGACATCAAGCGTCAGATTTTTCCCCATAGGAAAGCATTGATTCAAAGCTTTCCTATGGGGAGGTCTAATGTGTGTGGCACATGTGCATTAGCGTCTGCTTGCACAAGACATCGGAGGAGGAACCTTGACCCACCGCTAAGGAATATCGGTGCTGGAATCAGGATATAGTGCCAGGAACATAGCTTTGTATTCCTGGCACTTACAGTATATCCCTTTAAGCTCAGTACGTGCAGATTTAATAATTAAATGCTGCGCAGACAGACTCCTGGCACCACTAACACTTCAAATCACTGAGTGGTCATGGTGTTTGCAGTAAAAAATGTAAACTTCAATAATTGGTATGTCATATTCAATGGTATGCTGCCATGTTAAACCCTCCTCAATGCCACATTAAACTTTCTGGTGCAATGTAAATCCGTGGCTTAATTAGCCCCCCCCCCCCCCCCCAAAAAAAAAAAAAAAAAACACAAATTGGCACAGCCTAACAAATAAAGTGTACTTTTTTATTCATGATTATATCAAGTGCAAAGCTGAGATTGAGCTTACAGCATTATCTAGATATCAGAAGCCAAAACTACAAAAATGTTTTTAAGACAAATTAGCACTAACTGAATATTTGTATTCACATTTTAATAACATGAAGTAGAGCGTGGGCTGGGTTTGATCAAACAACGCACAATATTTCCAAAACTAAAGTGGTACAAATCAGCACAAATGAATGCTATTAAAGGACCACTCTAGGGACCCAGACCACTTCAGCTTAATGAAGTGGTCTGGGTGCCAGGTCCTTCTAGGGTTAACCCATTTTTTTATTAAGGTTAAGCCTTCCTCCAAATCCTCTAGTGGCTGTCTCATTGACAGCCGCTAGAGGTGCTTGCGTGCTTCTCACTGTGAAAATCACAGTGAGAGCACGCAAGCGTCCATAGGAAAGCATTATGAATGCTTTCCTATGCATTCAGCCGACGGGGCGGATCGGAGGCAGAGAGCTCCCCGCCCAGCGCTGGAAAAAGGTAAGTTTTTACCCCTTTCCCCCTTCCCTTTCCCCCTTCCAGATTAATATTTTTGTTATTGGGTAGAACATTGGCTTAAGGAGAGTACAACGAGTTGTCATTAATGGTACATTTTCAGGCTGGACAAAAGTGGTGTCCCTCAGGGTTCTGTTTTGGGACCGCTTCTATTTAAAATATTTATAAATTATCTTGAAAGCCAGGTTTCAGTGTTTGCAGATGGCACAAAACTATGAAGTAATACAATGTGAGGAAGATATTACTTTGCTGCAGAGGGATTTAGATAACCTGGGGAACTGGGCACTAAAATGGCAGATGAAATTTAATGTAGAGAAATGCAAAGTTATGCACTTCGGTATGAAGAATGCACAAGCAACTTACACCCTAAATGGTAGTGAATTAGGGATAACCACATACAAGAAGGATTTGGAAATTGTTATAGACAACAAATTAGGCAGCAATATGCAATATCAATCTGCAGTTGCTAAGGCCAGTAAAGTTTTGTCATGTATAAATAGGGGCATAAATTTATGAAAATATAGTTTTGCCCCTATATAAATCGCTGGTAAGACTACACCTTGTATATGCTGTGCAATTTTCAGCACCTGTTCTGAAGGATATCATGGCACTACAAAAAGTGCAGAGATGAGCTACAAAATTGATAAAAGGAATGGAGCATTTTAGTTACGAAGAAAGGCTAAAAAAAATATATACATACATATATAAATTTTTTTAAAATATTTTTATTTATATATAGGTATATATTTATGTATAGATATATATTTCATTCTATGTGTATTTTGATATAAATATATTAATATCACAATACAGTTAGAACGAAATAACATCTATATATTTTTTTATTTTATTTTTTTAACGTATTTACATATTTCATTTTTTATATTATATATAAATATAATTATATATATATTTAATCAATATCAGTCTACGTGTAATTTAAAATTTATATTAATAGTAAAATACACCCAGAGTGAAAAAAAAAAAAAAAAAAATATATATATATATCCATATATCCAATTAGGTTATGGTGGGGAAAAATTGTGATTGAAAACCCCTTCCACCTGAAATCTGTGGATAGTTAATACAATGTTAAACAAAAATCCAACTGCTTGGAACACAATTTAGGAAAAGAGCTCTACCAAGCCTCAATAAGCAAACCAGTAACCAACCTCATGCTGAAGAGTTGCATTAACAACGAAACAGCTGTCCATGAGTGGTTCACTGGTTTTGCATCTTTTCCTAAATTGTGTTCCAAGCAGTTGTATACTGCAAACACAGATTAAAACGAATCCATGTTTAAAATGGAATGAGGCAAAAATTTGATTCTTTGTTAAACTAATTTGCATATGCCCACCCAGAATCCTTTGCGGTTTTAACATCACTGCAGATTTGGGATTTCTGTGGGAAAAGCAAGTCTTATGGCTTGACTGGTGTGCAGATTTTTGTTTAACATTGTAATACATACATACATACATACATACATACATACATACATACATATACACTTTTTTAATTTTATTTTATTTCCAGCCAGCAGGGGGACTACCTGTCATTAAAGGCAGCCCCCCTGCTGGCAATGCAGGAGGCAGCTATCCCAGCCATGTGATTGTGAGGTCCTCGCAAGGACCTCACTCTCACATGGCCGGGTGGGCTGCCAGGGGGTCGGACGTGCCACGTGGGGATCCCTGGGAGTCCTCCCAACCGCGATCGCTGATGTGGGATCGCCAGCGACCGGGTAAATAAAGAAAGACCGGAGGGCGTACTATTACGCCCGGCGGCGTTTAGAGCCGCCTAAAATAGGGCGTAATAGTACGCCCTCCGGTCTTAAGGGGTTAACTATAATTTCCCTAAATGACTGTGCCCAAATACAGCTCTACTCTACCCTTGGGTTATCTGTGGCCATTCTAATGCTTCTAAACAAAAGTTTTGGGGTCTTACAGCACATGTGCAGCAATAGGCACATTAAATTAATAGAATCTTTAGAGAAGCTTTGCATTCCACTTTCAGAGAGCACTCAAAGCAAGTGAAGAACATTTGTGAAAATGTAAAGGTACTCCCAAAATAAATACTAAACAACAATTTATTGTTGCAGGTCTCGTCTAAATACTTTGTAAGCAATACTTCTAACCCTGCCAAGAGTTTGTGGCTATTTAATCAAATTCCCAATATAGTGCAATGATAAGTCATTGCAAGGCAGGTGCTCTGGGCAATTTCTGCCTCGTAAAAGTAGCACTATAGGGACAGGAATACAAACATGTATTCCTGACCCTATATGGTTAAAGCCACCATCTAACCCCCCTGTCTCTCTCATGCCTCTCTAAATATAGTAAAATCTTACTTTTATTCAATCTTGAAGATGCTTATTTTGTCCCGGTTTCCTTTTGACCTGCCCATTGCCATCAACAGAAGTGATCCATTTACAATGTTTCACCATAGGATTGGCTGAGACTGACAAGGAGGCAGATCAGGGGCAGAGCCAGCACAATTCAAACACAGCCCTGGCCAATCAGCATCTCCTCATAGAGATGAATTGAATCAATGAATCTCTATGAGGAAAGTTCAGTGTCTGCATGCAGAGGGAGGATACTGAATGTTTGGATGCATTTTAGGCAGCCATGACCCAGGAAGGATCTCCAGACATCTGAAGAGTGGCCAGTGAAGGTATCACTAGGCTGTAATGTAAACACTACATTTTCTCTGAAAAGACAGTATTTACAGCAAAAAGCCTGAAGGTAATGATTCTACTCACCAGAACAAATTCAATAAGCTGTAGTTGTTCTGATGACTATAGTGTCCCTTTAATATAAGCTCCACTGAGCTAAACTACCAGGAAGTTACTGGACCGATTGTCTGACAACCAGGGGAGTAACCAGGTTACAAAAAAATAAATATAAACTTGCAGATTTCAATAGAATTTTAAATCGACCAAACCCAGGTCGCCATGGCAACTTGAAATGTTGCCCTCTCACCTGGAATTTGAAGCCCTTTAGCTGAAAGCAGGATGGGGGAACAATAAGGGGGTGGCGGATGCTTGGCTCAGTGAGTTTGGAGGTGGCCGCCCTGGACTGCATGGTGGCCTACCCAGGTAAGGATTCTGGGTGGATTAAAATGTCAATGTGTGTGTGGGACACACTTAACTACATTAAGCTTCTGGTGACTATAGTGTCCCTTTAAGAATTGTATTTTTTTGGTAAATTAAACTTTGCTAGTTTCAACAAAAAACAAAACAAAAACTGGCTCCTAGATTCCAAACTAATTTGTCAAGCCCTGGACTAAGAAGTGTAATTTAACTATTATAACAGTCATATCAAAATTGTGCCATTATGTTTCTTAACCCCTTAATGATCACATCCTCCTAAAACATCAAAATTAATGTAATCTGAGCTACTGGGATAGATCTTATAACAGCATCACTTGCATACATACCATACATTCATAAGCATGAAGTAAACAAGGCATTAAAGCAGTTCCCCCCCTCCCAGCTTTTGCAGTAAACACTGTCTATTTAGAGAAAATGCAGTGTTTAAATTACAGCCTAGTGATAACTCCACTGGCCACTCCTCAGATGGCAACTAGAGGTTCTTCCTGGGGCAGTGCTGCACACTGTGCAGTACTGCCATTTAGGGTATCCACCCTCTGCATAAAAACCACTGAACTTGCAGATTGGCCAGGACTGTGTTTGACTTGTGCAGGCTGTGCCACTGATCTGCCTCCTTGACAGTCTTAGCCAATCCAATAGGGAAGCATTGTGATACATTCAGACCACCATTTCTGATGAGGTCAGCAGACAGGTCAGAGGCAGAAGCTACAGACTTGAATACAAGTAAGATTTTACTATATTTAGGGATGCAAGAGGAGGTTGGGGGGGATTAAGATTGTGATTTTAACACTATAGGGTCAGGAATGCAGATTTGTGTTTGACCCTATAGTGTTCCTTTAAGACAAATAAGGAACTACTTTTTCTTAAAAGGACACTATTGGCATCACAACAACTTTATCTTAAGTATTTTTGGTGTAAAAATCATGCCCCTGGAGTCACACGGTTTAATTATCTGCCATTTTGGAGAGAAAACACTGGTTTGTTTATGAAGCCCTAGTCATACATCCTGCAACTCCCACAGCCTGCATGAAATACATGGTTTCATGTCCAATCAGATGTTAACCAACTTCATATGTTTTTATCTCCTGCTCTGTAAATTGAACTTTAAAGGGACACTGTAGGCACCCAGACCACTTCAGCTCATTGAGAAACTCCCATCATCCTTAATCCAGAGCATGTAATTATTGCAGTTTTTATAAACTGCAATAGTTACCTGCTAGGGTTAAAAGGACCCCTACAGGCACCCAGACCACTTCAGGAGAGGGGAGCTTTGACAAAGGGAGAAGCTATAGTGGCAGGAAAACAAGTTTGTTTTCCTGGCACTATAGTTTCACTTCAATCACGAAAGGAGGCCCCTGCAAGGTCTCTAGAAGGTTATTAGAGTATGAGATGAATTCTAAATTAAACCACTGTATAATAAAGGGAGTTTACACATTAGATGCCCTTTACAGGAAGTGTTCCGGAAGGCTGTGCAAGACACATGCATAGAGGTGCAACTAGGGCTGCATAAACAAAGTGGTTTAAAGGGACACTATAGTCCCCAAAACCTTAGCGTAAAGGGACACTATAGTCACCAGAAAAACTGCAGCTTATTGAATTTGTTCTGGTGTGTAGAATCATTACCTTCAGGCTTTTTGCTATAAACACTGTCTTTTCAGAGAAAACGCAGTGTTTATATTACAGCCTAGTGATCACTTCACTGGCCACTCCTCAGATAGCGGTTAGAGATCCCTCCTGGGTCATGGCTGCCTAAAATGCATCCAAACATTTAGTGTCTCCTCCCTCTGCATGCAGACACTAAACTTTCCTCAGAGATTAATTGATTCAATTCATCTCTATGAGGAGATGTTGATTGGCCAGGGCTGTGTTTGAATCATGCTGGCTCTGCCCCTGATCTGACTGTCATTCTCAGCCAATCCTATGGGGAAGCATTGTGACTGGATCAGGCTACCACTTCTGATGATGTCAGCAGACTGCTTGAGTCTAACAGAATGCAGAGTTACAGCTTCAGTCTTGAATAGAGTAAGATTTTGCTATATTTATGGAGGCATGAGGGGGGTGTTAAACCTGTATTCCTGACCCTATAGTGTTGTGTTCCTGACCCTATAGTGATCCTTTAATTAAGTAGTTTTGGTGTATAGATCATACCCCTGCCATGTGGACAGAAACAAAAGCGACAACTAAATGGCAGAGAATTGAACTGTGAGACTGCAAGGGCATGACCTATACACAAAAACTGCTGGAAAAGAGGTAAGGGATTAACCCCTTCCTCCCCCTTCAGCGCCACGGGAGTGGGACACTGAGGGTGGGGGCACCCTTAGGGCACTATAGTGCCAGGAAAACTAGTATGTTTACCTGGCACTATAATGGTCCTTTAACCCCTTAAGGACACAGCTTCAGAAGCTTGACTTACGCTTAATGACACAAGCAATTTTTGCATTTTCTTGCTGTTTGCGTTCAACTGCAATTTGCATCTCTCTCGTTTATTGCACCGACACATATTATATACTGTTTTTTAAAGGACAGAAAGGGCTTTAATTTGATATAACATATATATATATAAATGCTTACTTATTATAAAAAAAATACAGAAAAATGCAAAAAAATGAAAAATATTGTTTTTTTTTACAGTTTTTGCAATAATAATGTGTGCATAATTAGTGCAGGTTAAGGAAAGTAATTAAAAATAAATTTATTTATTTGTTCTGATTTACAGAATATATAATGTGTCTGGGATTTTAAGTTTTTTTTGGTAGTTACAGGTCACAAAGCACAAGGAGTAAAATAAACTTTTTAATGTGGAGCGATTTTAGAATTTGGTATGTTTGTCTTGTAAGCTTAATAGCCATAAAAGAAAACAAAATTGCCACACAAAAGTACATATTTATATAAAGTAGACATCACGGCTATTTACCTAAGTTTGTTTTGACACTTTCTATGTAGCCATTTCACCGCCAACCTCTGCTAAATATTGGAGTAAAATTGTGTTTTTTTTGGTTTTTGGCACACAAACTTATAACAAAGAAATTCTCATGTATATTTTGTAAAGTTGGTGTGTGCTATTCCTGTACAAAGTTTTATTTTGTGTTCAGTTACATCTGCTGAGTAAAATGACACCCCATTGTATGTCTTTTGCACTATTTCGTGAAGTTACAGTGCCATACAGGATACCTGTCCTTTTCAGTATTCACAGTAGAATTTTGAGAGATGAATTTAATGAGCCTTAGCTTCCATTTGGGGTATTATAACAGTTTGACTGTTCAAAAACCCCCACAAAGGCCTACCATTTGTAAAAGTAGACACTCCAGGGTATCTTATAAGGTGCATATTGTGCCTTAACATGCCCCCATTTTTTCACCAATATATGCCAAAGTATGTGGTAAAAAAAATTTTGTGCATTTTTTACATACGGATTGCATTTTTGCTGGGCGTTTTGTATATTTCATATGTGCCACTAAGTTCAAACCCCCAAATTATGCTCAGCTAAGTCTTCTGAGTAAAATGACACCCCATATGAATGTCTTTGGCACTATTTCGTGAAGCTACAGTGCCATATAGGAGACCTGTCCTTTACAGTATTCACAGTAGAATTTTGAGAGATGGATTTAATGAGCCTTAGCTTCCATTTGGGGTATTATAACAGTTTGACTGTTCAAAAACCCCACACAAAGGCCTACCATTTGTAAAAGTAGACACTCCAGGGTATCTCATAAGGTGCATATTGTGCCTTAACATACCCCCATTTTTTCACCAATATATGCCAAAGTATGTGGTAAAAAATTATTTTGTGCATTTTTTACATACGGATTGCATTTTTGCTGGGCGTTTTGCATATTTCATATGTGCCACTAAGTTCAAACCTCCCAAATTATGCTCAGCTAAGTCTTTTGAGTAAAAATACACCCAATGAATGTCTTTGTCACTATTTTGTGAAGCTACAGTGCCATATAGGAGACCAAGCCATATCCGTTTTTACCAAACTTTGAATTTTGACGCTGGGCCTATATGCAATTTCCAAGCATCTTCGCAGGTTTTAAATTCAATCTACCCAACAAAGGCCTACCATTTCTTAAAGTAGACACCCCAGGGTGTTTCAAAAGGTATAGTTTGAACCTTAGCGTGGGATCATTTTTCCGCTAGCTTGTACCAGATGTAGTGGTAATAAGCGTTTTTTCTGCCTTTTGACATACAAAGTGAGTTTGCACAGTATATTTTGCAAACCTTATGTGTGCTACGACTGTATAATACTTCATATGTTGCTCAGCTATGTCGGCTGAGTACAGCAATACCCCCGTATGTACCTTTGCCAGGTATGTGTGGACATCGGAGGGGCACATTTGGGACACAGCCATTCAGTTTTTTTCAAACTTTGAATTTTTATGCTGTGCCTATGTCCCATTTTAGAGTATTTTACCAGGCTATATAATCCAAATTCCCCATAAAGCCATACCATTTCTTAAAGAAGACATCCCAGGGTATTTAAAAAGGCATATTTTGAACCTTAGTGTGGGATCATTTTTCAGCTAGCTTGTACCAAGTGTAGTGGTAATAAGCATTTTTTCTGCCTTTTTGACATACAAAGTGAGTTTGCGCAGCATATTTTGCAAACCTTATGTGTACTATGACTGTATAATACTTCATATGTTGCTCAGCTATGTCGGCTGAGTACAGCAATACCCCCGTATGTACCTTTGCCAGGTACATGTGGATGTTGAAGGGGCGCATTTGAGACGCAGCCATTCAGTTTTTTTCTAACTTTGAAGTTTTACGCTGTGTCCATGTTACAATTTGGAATAGTTTAGACGGTTGGTTATTGAAACTTCCCCACAAACACATACTATTTATTAAAGAATACACCCTGGGGTAATTCAAAAGGCATATTTTGAACCTTGGCGTGGGATACTTTTTTCTCTAGTTTGTTCCAGGTGTAGTGGTAATGAGCGTTTTTAAAATGTATTTTTTTACTTTTTATAACTTTTTACTTTTAAAAACTAGTTTTTAAACTTTTGTTTTGCTTATAAATTTTTTTTAAACTTTCCTAAACTTTCTTAAAACTTTTTTACAGATTTAACATTTTTCTAAGCTATTTTTTTTACTGTTAACCCCTAACTAGCAGTACGCAGCAGTAACAGTAAATTCCCCATTTTCCCATAACTCCCACCCACCCCAGCTAGCAAAATATATAGTTATAAAATATTTAAATTAATTAAATAAATTGAACCCTTGAGGGTTAAAAAAATAAATAAAAGTTAATCCTCAGGGGTTAAAAAAAATTAGATCACAGTATAAAACTGTGATCTCTATTTGATCGCTGTAGGCAGTGATCGACTGGCAGGGAAGGGGTTAATTTTTATTTGGACTAGGTAAAGTGTGTTTTTTTGTTTTTATTACTTAAATGTTATTAAAACATTTTTTTAAGCTTAATTTTTAACTTTTAAAGTTTCTTTTAAAACTTTTTTTTAACGTTAACCCCTAGTTAGCCTAACGTCAAATCCCCCAATTCCCCACTAACTTCCACCTACCCCAGCTATCTAAATATATAATTTAAAAATAATTTAATTAATTAATTAATTTAGTTAATTTAACCCCTGAGGGTTAAAAAAAAAGAATTAACCCTCAAGGGTTAAAAAAAAAAATCAGATCATAGTAAAATGTAATCCCTGCCAATTGATCACTGTAGTCAGTGATCAATTGGCAGGGAAGGGGTTAATTTTTTATTAAAATGGGTAAGGGGGGGACACTTTAAATAAACTTTATTTTTTTTAACAGCAGGGGGCAGGATCAGCACTGATCCGGCTCCCTGCACTTCACACAGAACCCGGAAGTGCAGGGAGCCGGTAGGTAAGTATACAGAGCAAATGTGCTCGCTCCGACTTGTGGTCAGAGCGAGCACATGTGCTAGGCAGCTTGACCGGGTGCTCCCGGTATGCCTCTAATGCAGAGGCATACCGGGAGCACCATTAACCCCGCGATCGCCGCAATAGCGGCGATCCGGGGTTAATTTTACCGCGTGACGGACGAGGTCCGTCACCCGTCGTTAAGGGTCTCCCCTGCGTGACGGACCTCGTCCGTCACCCGTCCTGAAGGGGTTAACAGAAGTGATATTTATATTGAACTTTTTTTGCAATTCTTTTTAGGATGATACTGCAGTATATCCGTTTTCCTTTCATTTTTGCACTACGGAAACAGAAGCTAGCTCCAATTCCCACCTATGAATGTTTTGTCAACTTGACTGCTATACATAATGAAAACTAGTTTCCTTATATATTTAACGAAGACTACAGCAGATTGAGACACAGGGAAGTATGTAGATGTAGATTAGAAAACGTTTATTTTTAGGCAACACAGACACTTTAATTATGCTAGAGCAATATCCATGATCATACAGTAGAAAGAGACCGTTATGGAATGAATAATTGAATCTTAAAATAACAATCCACTGCCCAAATACAAAATAAATTAAAAAAAAAAAAAATTGTTTAATAGATATAGCCCAAATAAAAACTTGAAAACTTTTTATTTAGGGTATATTTAAAAACAGCGTGCAAGACCAGCAGTTCTCATCTGCTGCCTTTGTAAACCTTCCCATTCTAACCCCGCCCAGACTTTCTGTGGCTGTCTAATCACAGATTACTGAGATGTGTTTGCAAGAAAAGTGCTCTGAGCAATTGCTGCCTCTTATGTTAAGCTCTACTGAGCCAAAGTAACCAGGAAGTACCATTACTGTTAGTTTGAAAGCCAAGAGGGTATAACCAGGTTAGTTTCGAAAAGTGTCAATTTTTATTGAAATCTGCAGTTTTTCCAAAATGAGGGCAGACAAAGATTTTCAGCAAGATTTAAGGGTCTAGAGTGTTTCTTTAAAGAGTTACCCCAATAACCATTAATTCTTCTGCATACTTTATGAAAAGACAGGACTGTAAAAGGATCACTATAGTGTCAGGAAAACAAACTCGTTTTCCTGACACTATATAACCCTTAGCTCCCCCCCACCCTCAGGGCCCCCCTCCCGTTGGGCTCAAGAGGTTAAATGCTTTCCTAAGGACGTTCTGCACGCTGAATGAGATTTTCGCATAAGCGCCTCTAGCGGTTGTCAGGAAGACAGCCACTGAAACGGCTATATTTACATCTGAAAGGTTAAAAACTGGGGGACTTGGCACCCAGACCACTTCACTGAGCTGAAGTGGTCTGGGTGACTATAGTGGTCCTTTAACCCCTTAAGGACACATGACATGTGTGACATGTCACAATTCCATTTTATTTTGGTCCTTAAGGGGTTAAGCACCTAAACAATAATGCCCACAGGCCTTATGACACAAAAAAAAAAAAAAAGGGGGGGGTGGAAACCCTTGTAACGGGTTGGACACCATAACAACTAGTGCTTTTTTTTTTTACCCAGTTGTGCTCTTCAGCAGCATCCGGTTTCTTTAGGATTTTCAGGAAACGCAGAGTGTAATAGGACAGGGGTGCCGCTGATTGAGTGGGGAGCTACAGATCGTCAGGTGACTGCTCTAAGCCAATATGTGGCACCCCTACATTATGGGACTGTGCTTTGTGAAGAAACTGGATGCCGCTTGGGACAGGAAGATCTGGTGGTGGAGAGCAATCTTAAAACTATTTAAGAGTTGTTTAACCCTTTCCATAAGAAGGTAAAAAGGGACCGATGGGCACCAAAACAACATTTCAATAGTTGTTATGGGGCTTATACAGTTCCTTTAACTTTTAGATATCCTTATGGAGAGACGTGGGTTGACAGACCCAACAGTCTGAAGAGTGATAACAGACATAAAATAACTACATACGTTAATTCGATGCAATGGCAAAGGACTACTTATAAAAATAATCTTATTTATTTACATTATGAGCAAAAGGTAGACCTTCGTATGCTTTCTGATTTTAAATTCAGATAAAGTATCATTGGTAATTGTACAATATACGGGAATCAATCTTTTAGCCATCTTCACTTCATGTGTATTGAATTAATCATAACAAGTTTACATGGGTGTAGCTGAGCTATAGTCAAGAAGCACTAGAATGGGACACCCCCCAAAAATATTTTTTTAACATACACTTCTTTATACCCCTGGGTGACATGACAGGGTATAAGTATTAGAAATGGTATCAGTCAGAAGGCTGCCAAATTCCCCAAATCAGACTCTTGATTTAACAGAACAGCATGAATTTCCTAATAAATTATCCAGAAACCTCTGGTGTCACAACTGTGATTAGGCCCTGGGGGACAAAACTCCTTACCTCTCTGTGATCAATAGAATCAGATGAAGACTCCTTTCCCTCCACAAAGGTGGTGGCATTAAGAAGCTTATACTTGAACTGAAGGAGTTTTGGGAAACATACCTATTAAAGGCCCAAAAATTAGTGCTACCAAAAACTTACAGCTGTGGAAACTTGCTTAAAGAGTGAGATTGGAAGTTAGGAAACAGTCAAGAGGTGGCTCATGCAGGGAGTACAAAACCTGTCCCATACAGTGGTTCTTTAAAGGCCCAATACAGACGCAGGAATGTCCTTTTTTGTGGAGTGCCAGAATCTATAGGCCTTCTTTCCTCAAAAAGCTGATTACAACATTATAGAATCACCACTGATAGTCTTTGTATTCATAAGGCTGCATCAACCCTTGTGAAGTCTCCAAGAGACATAGCAGTAAACAGAGATATAGCTAACTGGGCTGCCATTATGCCCCATTTCAGAACTTCGCTAGTTATTGGAGCTGTTCTATACAATTCAGTCATCTCCCATTCTCCTTGCTTGCAGAGATGTCAGTTGGCACACAAACAGGTTGTTGAGAGATCACTTCATTAAGTTGGTTCCATAATTTTTTAAATTTTTTTTTTATATATAGAGTTTACTTCAACAGCTGGGGATACTGGTCCTGCCATTACCAGAAGCTGTGATTCATCCAGACTTTGTGCTGGAACACTGTTTGATCATGTACACACTTGGCCAGCTAAGACATCTCTACAATGAAAGGCCTCTCTAAACCATTGTGAACCCTTAGTAAAGTCTGATACAAGTATAGTACATCTATAGCTTGCAAAAAACATACCAGAAGACCTTCCCTTTTTTCTTGAATGGTTAGTCTGGAGCGACTTTTCAATTCTACCATTTGTTTTTCTCCTCCTATTCTCAAACTTTGAAACTGCATTGTAATCACATTACTAACTCCAACACATATTGTGTGCCAGACTTTCATACTTATTCACATTGTGTGTACACACACACAAAATTCACTGGTAAGATTCAACATAACATGAATACAGTATTGAACTACAAGAGATCAGAGGTTAGTGTCTAATGACTCAGAAACAAAAATTTTATATATTATATATATATATATATATATATATATATATATATATATATATATATATATCTCCTCTGCTCAGTCCTGCTTATATATATTCCAGAGTCTTATCAACTAATAAAATGTTATAAAGGCAATACATGCACTAAACAGAGTTATCGTGAACTGAAATCCGAACAGTAGCAAAAGAGAGTCAAGCTGCACCAAGCAAAAACATATTTCAAACCTGCCATTTTATTTTCTTTGGCCCAGACTTGGCTATAAATCTGGAATTTTGTGAATAACCCTCAAAAGTAAATCTAAGAGGTTGAGGCCCAGTTGTGAGCACTTTAAAACAAAACCCGAGTAAAAACAAAACTCAATAACTATAATAACTATAATAATAATAATAATAACTATAATAATAATAACTATAATAATTAATAATAATAATAACTATAATAATAATAATAATAATAAAGTGATGATGATGATGATAGAGTTGGTTAGTGGAGGGAGAGCGGGGCAGGATGCCAGCACTCTGCCCATGATTTGATAGCAGTGATTGGGTTAAAGTGCGGCTGCAGGGTGTTAGCGAGTGCGGCAGCTCGGCCCGGTGTGCTCCCCGGCGCTCAGGTACAGCACAGACACCCACCCACCCACACACAGGTAGAGGAGGCCACTTCCATATACTCGGCGGTGACCCACCCCTCCTGCCCCGGAATACCGGCGGCGGACTCAGCATACTCACGGTGGGCTCAGCGTGTCTCTGGGCTGCGATCAAAGGTGGGCTGGGTGACGTCACTCACGGCGGATCTCTCCCCACCGCTCAGGGTTCCGTCGCTCGGACCGAACCCGCCCTTCCCAGGACTAGCCGGTGACGTCACTGCCTGCCCAGCCGCGGCCAATCAGGGAGCGCGAAAAAGAGGAGGCCGGCAAGCCGCCAATGAGAGAGCGTGTTGTACAGGGAGCGAGAAAGAGGGCGTGTACCGGGAGGGGTGTTAAATATACATTATATACACACACGAGATAATAGGGAGTGGTAGGGAGATGGGCGAGATAACAGGAAAAGGGAGTAGCGTCCTGTGCAGGAAGGAATGCCATACTCCATGCAGGTAGAGGAGGCAGCACACAGCCTGAGGGCTTTATTCACTAAACAGCGGGCTAGAGCGAACGGGAAAACAGACAGGCTGGCACTGGGCTATAGGAGGGAGAATTGTCTGGAATTTAAAGTGAATTTCGAATTAAAATCTAAAGTAACAGGAGTGGAAGCGAGCAGAATTGGAGAATTCCTGCAATGTTTGGCCTTAAATGTGGATTCCAGCCATGTCACAGTATTGGCAATAACCCATTAAACTATGGCCTGACAGGGAGATTCACTGACTGAGCATTGCTGGCAATGCAAAACGAATTTCAAAAATTAGACCGGATTATAATAATAATAATAATAATATCTAGTTTTTATATAGCGCCTTTCTCCCAGTGGGACTCCGCGCGTGCTCTCAGAATTAACCACATCGGCAGCTGAATAGTAACAGATGTTATTATTACCCAATTGATGGAACTCATTTTATTGACCTCCGAAGGATGAAGGGCTGAGTTGACCCAGCCAGGATTTAAACCTGTGACCTTGCAATTTTGAACAGGCTTTGTAGTTAGGGAATTTACCAACTGAGCTACCTCACTGTTTTTGATTTGGCACTTTTGGCCTTAAATTTGAACTTAACGTCGAAATCTCAGCAAGTTTTACTTTAGTGAATAACCCCGATAGTTTGGCTATTTTAGACCGCAGATTTGTTTGTGTGGGGGTATAAACCCTTTGTATGTATGCATTTATATAGTCAATGAATCAGGATTGTTAAACCCTACAGCCCCTGTTAATGTGGGCTAGGTCTCCCACTCTGATCCATCAGTTTTTGTGAAACATCCTGGGATAGTCCACAACAGCTGATAAGATCAACTAGCAAATCACTTCTGAACATATACAGTGGTGAGAGAGTCTATTTCGCCCCTGGGACATCTCTAAAAGCCAATGCAATGCTCCTTATAAGGAAACATTGGGATCCTACAGGGCATGCACAGCACTCACCACACTGTGTGAATAGAATGCTTCTCAGATTGAAGTATTGCATTCCACTTTCATCAAGTACAGTAAGAAAAAGCACCCTTAAAGGGACACTATAGTCACCAAAACAACTTTAGCTTAATTAAGCAGTTTTGGTGTATAGATCATGCCCCTCCAGTCTAACTGCTCAATAGTAGCATTTGGTTTGAGGAGCACAGCATTTATAGGAACACTTTAAATTTAGAGGTGTGAGTGGGGTTGCAAAAAAATAATAATAAAGGTGTGCTGTGTCTTTAAGACCTGTGTAAAAAGTGTTTATCACACACAATGTAAAAAATTGAAACAGTAATTAAAGTACTCACTATATCAAACTGTCAATGTGTGATATTTAATTTTTTTTTAAATAGCGCAAATGCCTTTTTTAAACTGCATATAACAAGAAAGGTAGAAAATGGATCAGCGCTGTGTGATGTGGTCAAGTAGGAAGCTGCAGCCTATAGGTATGAGGTTCCCTCTAAAGTCCTCAAAAGAGAAATGACAAAAACAAGAATAATAGGTTGCGCTACAAGAATATCAAATAAAAAGGGATAAATATGGAAAACACTTTTAACGTAAAAGAAAGATAATATGTATAAAAAGAAGGGAATTTAATAAATATATATAACTAATATGTATAAAAGAAGATAGTCCAAATTCTTGATATACTTTAAAAAGTTCAAATAAATGGATGATAGTGACAGTACTTGGTATATTTCTCTTTCAGGTTCTGGTAAGTATTTGGAAGTAGAAAGTCCAATAAGAGGCTGAATCTTCTAATCTTTAGAGGAGTCTTGATTCAGAGATGAACATGGAAAATATAAACAACAAAGACGATCCAATAGTGTAGACTGTCTGTGATGATTAATAATGATAATAGGTAGGTAGGTAGTACACTCACCTATCTTAGAGCATGAACTTGCTCTGGTATTGTGGGCATTCAGTGGCGTTTATCCCCCACTGGTAGGATATAGGTGAAGGTAATTCCTTGGTAAAAAAGGAGATAAAAGCAGAATATAGTGCTCACTGAATTAAAATAAAGTAAAATTAAATAAAAGAATAAAAATACTCACATTCGAATGAGCAGGATAAACTGCTCAGTATATTCGCATAGGTGGTACAATCCCCACCAAGGATTCTTGGTCGTGGGTAGATTCCAAGTTGGTGAATGACCAGGTGAGAGGAAATATTTTTAAAACAAAAAAAATTATTTTAAAAATCAGAAAAGAAGGTATATGGCAAAGTTGTTGTAAAAAAGCCACTATTCCTTTATTGATACAATAAAAAATATAAAATGTATGTAAAATAGCCAAAACGCGTTTCGCCACACAGGGCTTTATCAACTGGCAATAATAAAAAATCAGCCTGGTACATAGATACTTTTATAAACTATGATAAAACATGCTTATTTGAATTTTGGCGCCAAAATGACGTTATCCATACAGTGTGTAAAAAGCAAAATAATTCATTACATGAAAATACTTAAAAATACAAAATGCATAGTATTTATAATTTAAAATATAAGGAAATACATAATGATTAATAGTAAAACGAGTGTTATTTGTTGAAATAATAGATTAAATCGAGAATCATGTGATCGCAATCTAATGCGATCACATGGTGAACACTGGGGCAGTGTGGGAAATGTAGTAACAAGGGAGAGAGCAAGAATAGATGGTCACGTGATCGCGGACCTTCGCGATCACGTGACTGATTGCACACATCGATATGGAATGTGGCCGCTCAGACGGAGGTCGGCAGACTGCGGCACGCCTCCGTCTGACATCAATGGTGGGGGCGGTGTATACCGCAAAAGCTCATGGGATATGTAGTGTTCAGACGGAGGCCGGCAACAAGAGGCACGCCTCCGTCTGACATCTACAAAAAAGGGGCGGCGCCTAATGCCGATCGGAATACATCTTGTGAAAATAAAATAAAATTGAGTGGCATAACAGCCAAAATAAGAACAAATATGAATAAGACAAATATGAGTATATTAGACAAATATGAGGTAAAAAACAGATTTTGGGTATGTAGAAAAAGAATAATAGGACTAAAGGAAAAGGTGTGTATGTCTTTTCTTATGAATATAGGGCAAAACTGTAACAATGTAGGTAAATATTTGTAATTAAGTGAAATTTCATTAAGAAGCAATGCACATGTATATATATATATATATATATATATATATACATATATATACACATCTTGGTATTAAGACTGATTGTCCTGTATTCAGCATTCTTTAAATGTGTCATTTTCTGAATCAGTTTTAGAATAGCCCCTATACATTTGGGCACAAAAATAAAAGAAAAAGAAAATAAAAATAAATATAAACATAAAAATAAATATAAATATAAAAATAAATCTAAAATAAAATAAATTTTATAAAAAATTAAAAAGGTCAAATTCAGCGTTCAAGCCTTCAGGAAAAAGGGTCTTAAGTGTAAAAACCCAGTACATTTCTCTTTTTCCTAAGGTTTTCACCATATCTCCACCTCTCCATGGGAGAGTAACTTGTTCTATACCAGTTACTTTTAGGAGTCAATTTTTTAGATTTAAATATTTTTATTCAAGATGGACGTATTCAAACTAAGACCTTTTTTAAAGAAGTTTGCACTAATACGATTATTGACCAAACTAGTTGCCATCATAGACCGTGGTTGGATGGTATCCCCAAAAGTCAATTCCTTCGTCTTCATCGAAATTGTTCCTTAACAGCTGATTTCAATGCCCAATCTACCTCATTGAAAAATATGTTTTTAGACAAAAAGTATGAGGCAGACAAGCTAAATACAGCCTTAGAGACAGTTAAAACTAAACAAAGAAAGGAGCTTCTTGAATACAAAGTGAAAAAAGTAGATCCTCCTCAATTACCCATTATCTTGGATTTTAACAATAAAAATAAAACTTTAAAAAAAATTCTAAATAAACATTGGCATATCCTTAAACAAGACGACCTTTTAAAAGACTACATCCCAGAAAGACCCAATGTTGTGTTTAGAGGGGCCCCCAATTTCAGAACCATCCTCACTAAAAACTATACAAGAGAGAATGTACAACAAAATAAAACTTTTTTATCTAGACCAAAAGGTTGTTTTAAGTGTAACAAATGTATTGTGTGTAGAACGACTAAAGGAATTACAAATTCTAAAACTATTCATTTTGCCTCCAACATTACTAAAACCTCTTACACAATTAAAGAATATATAGGTTGTAATACCAAAAATGTGATATACTTATTGGAATGCCCATGTGGGCTGCAATATGTGGGCATGACTAAAAGATGCCTTAAAGTGAGATTAGCAGAACATTGCCGTAACATTAGGAGAGGCTATGAGAACCACTCAGTGTCCAAGCATTTTTTAATACATAATAAAGACCCGACACTCCTAAAAGTAACTGGTATAGAACAAGTTACTCTCCCATGGAGAGGTGGAGATATGGTGAAAACCTTAGGAAAAAGAGAAATGTACTGGGTTTTTACACTTAAGACCCTTTTTCCTGAAGGCTTGAACGCTGAATTTGACCTTTTTAATTTTTTATAAAATAAAATAATTTTTTATTTTTATTTTATATTTATTTTTATTTTTATATTTATATTTATTTTTATGTTTATATTTATTTTTATTTTCTTTTTCTTTTTCTTTTTCTTTTTATTTTATTTTTGTGCCCAAATGTATAGGGGCTATTCTAAAACTGATTCAGAAAATGACACATTTAAAGAATGCTGAATACAGGACAATCAGTCTTAATACCAAGATGTGTATATATATGTATATATATATATATATATATATATATATATATATATATATATATATACACATATGCATTGCTTCTTAATGAAATTTCACTTAATTACAAATATTTACCTACATTGTTACAGTTTTGCCCTATATTCATAAGAAAAGACATACACACCTTTTCCTTTAGTCCTATTATTCTTTTTCTACATACCCAAAATCTGTTTTTTACCTCATATTTGTCTAATATACTCATATTTGTCTTATTCATATTTGTTCTTATTTTGGCTGTTATGCCACTCAATTTTATTTTATTTTCACAAGATGTATTCCGATCGGCATTAGGCGCCGCCCCTTTTTTGTAGATGTCAGACGGAGGCGTGCCTCTTGTTGCCGGCCTCCGTCTGAACACTACATATCCCATGAGCTTTTGCGGTATACACCGCCCCCACCATTGATGTCAGACGGAGGCGTGCCGCAGTCTGCCGACCTCCGTCTGAGCGGCCACATTCCATATCGATGTGTGCAATCAGTCACGTGATCGCGAAGGTCCGCGATCACGTGACCATCTATTCTTGCTCTCTCCCTTGTTACTACATTTCCCACACTGCCCCAGTGTTCACCATGTGATCGCATTAGATTGCGATCACATGATTCTCGATTTAATCTATTATTTCAACAAATAACACTCGTTTTACTATTAATCATTATGTATTTCCTTATATTTTAAATTATAAATACTATGCATTTTGTATTTTTAAGTATTTTCATGTAATGAATTATTTTGCTTTTTACACACTGTATGGATAACGTCATTTTGGCGCCAAAATTCAAATAAGCATGTTTTATCATAGTTTATAAAAGTATCTATGTACCAGGCTGATTTTTTATTATTGCCAGTTGATAAAGCCCTGTGTGGCGAAACGCGTTTTGGCTATTTTACATACATTTTATATTTTTTATTGTATCAATAAAGGAATAGTGGCTTTTTTACAACAACTTTGCCATTTACCTTCTTTTCTGATTTTTAAAATAATTTTTTTTGTTTTCAAAATATTTCCTGTCACCTGGTCATTCACCAACTTGGAATCTACCCACGACCAAGAATCATTGGTGGGGATTGTACCACCTATGCGAATATACTGAGCAGTTTATCCTGCTCATTCGAATGTGAGTATTTTTATTCTTTTATTTAATTTTACTTTATTTTAATTCAGTGAGCACTATATTCTGCTTTTATCTCCTTTTTTACCGAGGAATTACCTTCACCTATATCCTACCAGTGGGGGATAAACGCCACTGAACGCCCACAATACCAGAGCAAGTTCATGCTCTAAGATAGGTGAGTGTACTACCTACCTACCTATTATCATTATTAATCATCACAGACAGTCTACACTATTGGATCGTCTTTGTTGTTTATATTTTCCATGTTCATCTCTGAATCAAGACTCCTCTAAAGATTAGAAGATTCAGTCTCTTATTGGACTTTCTACTTCCAAATACTTACCGGAACCTGAAAGAGAAATATACCAAGTACTGTCACTATCATCCATTTATTTGAACTTTTTAAAGTATATCAAGAATTTGGACTATCTTCTTTTATACATATTAGTTATATATATTTATTAAATTCCCTTCTTTTTATACATATTATCTTTCTTTTACGTTAAAAGTGTTTTCCATATTTATCCCTTTTTATTTGATATTCTTGTAGCGCAACCTATTATTCTTGTTTTTGATATAACAAGAAAGGCTTGAAAGGATGACTTATATATCTCCAAGTCAGGGCTTGACAAATTTGCTTTGAATCTAGGAGCCAGCTAAAAAAGTAAGGAGCCAGGTTTACTTAAAGCTTTATAGTCAACGACAAAAATACATTTTTTTTAACGCCTTTAGGACGTACTATGCCATCCTGCATATAGCGAGTCTAAACGCCGTTAGCCCTCCTGTCCTTGCACACTTACATGGACCGGCGACCCCGTCTGGAGGGACTGCCTCACAAGCCAGGCAGTGCTCCTGCTTCCTTTTCAGCTCTTCAGGGCCATGTGATTGCGACGGACTGTGCTTCCTAGAGGTTCTTCCTGTGTGCAGCACCTATATTTAGCGTGTTCACGCTCTGCATGGAGGCGCTGAAAGTTCCCCATAGAGACGCATTAATTCAATTAATTTCTATGAGGAGAAGCTGATTGGTGCATCATTTTGCAGCGCATGCACAATAGTCTCCCAATACTTTCATATGGAAAAACATTTGATTGGCTGAGATGCTCAAGCTTGATAATCTCAGCCATAGAGGTGTGGCCAGTCGAGGGAAGACCAGGACGGCATGGGAAAAAAAGGTGAGTAAAAACACCATTCCCTTGTGAACGGAGCCGGGCTGGTCACCTAAACACACACATATAACGTCACAGACACACACACACCATGACAGACATACACACACACACACCATGAGAGAAAGACAGACGCACACACACACGTATACCATGACAGACAGACTCACACTGACACAGACCCACATACACTGACACAGACTCACACATTGTTTGTTTTAATAAAATCTGCTTACCCTGAGGTCCAGTGGGTGGCTGGCTGGGGTTTTGTGGAGGCGGGCAGGAAGCTGGTGGATTGTTGAGGAGCAGAGCCGGGACATCACAGCTTTCTCGCCGTCCGCCTACTATCCACCAGCTTTCCAATACAAACGGGAGAAAATATACATAGTGTTATACAGTTTCTAAAACTTTGGGTTTCAGTATGTAAGGAATACCATTCACAAATGGAGAGCAGATAAGCCTTCTCTAAACATTGAGTGCCTCAATATCCTTAATAAACCTGGTCACCTACCATAAGTATATAGACAATTTGTTTTTTTTATATGGAAAGGTATATAGTGCGCATCTAGAAATTGTTTTAGAAAATGTAAATAAAAATACCTGAGGTATCTCTTTAACCCCTTAAGGACTGGACTGTTTTTGCGATGTTGTACATTTGCGACCAGGAATATTTTTACACTTTTGTGGTGTTTGTGTTTGGCTGTAATTTTCCGCTTTCTCATTTACTGTTCCCATACAAATTATATATTGTTTTTTCAGGACAAAATGGGCTTTCTTTACATACCATTATTTATATAATCTCATGTATTTTAATTTAAAAAAAATATAAAAATCTGATGAAAAATTGAAAAAAATACATGTTTTTTGACTTTTACTTGAAAAATCTTTTACTCATCTACAAAAGCGAATGAAAAGAACTGCTAAATAGATTCAAAATTTTGTCCTGAGTTTAAAAATACCTAGTGTTTACGTGCTTTTTTGCTTTTTTTGCATGTTATAGGGCTATAGGTACAAGTAGGATATTGCGGTTTAAAAACATACATTTTTAAAATTTATCAATAGTGACATTGTAACACTATTATCTGTCATAAATCTCTGAATAACACCCCACATGTAAATATTTTTTTTAAAGTAGACAACCCAGGGTATTCAATATGGGGTATGTCCAGTCTTTTTTAGTAGCCACTTAGTCGAAAACACTGGCCAAAGTAAGCATTCATATTTGTTTGTGTGTGAAAAAGTAAAAAAACTAAATTGAACGCTAATTTTGGCCAGTGTTTGTGACCAAGTGGTTACTAAAAAAGACTGGACATACCCATTTGCAATACCTTGGGTTGTCTTCTTTTGCAAATGGTATGCCATCATGGGGGTAATTCTCATTCCTGGGCTACCATACGCTCTCAAAGGCAACGTAACCAACCTGGCCATTTTCAATAAAAAATATTTGACCCATATATTTGACCTTAACTTTCAAAAATGCTATAAAACCTGTACATGGGGTACTGTTTTACTCGGGAGACATCGCTGAACACAAATATTAGTGTTTAAAAACTGGAAAACGTATCACAACAATTATATCATCAGTAAAAGTGCTGTTTGTGTGTGAAAAATGCAAAAAAAGTAACTTTCACTGACAATATCATCGCTGTGATATGTTTTACTGTTTTGAATCACTAATATTTGTGTTCAGCGAAGTCTCCCGAGTAAAACAGTACCCCCCATGTACAGGTTTTAGGGTGTCGTAGAACGTTACAGGGTAAAATACAGTGCTAGCAAATTAAATTCTCTGGAATTTCGGCCTGGGTTGGCAGGCAGGTCCCTCAAATTGCAATCAATAAAATTACTGAATTATGTAAAAAATATTACATAAATACGCACGTAGAATTTAAATATATATGCATATTTATATATTTGAAGTCTACGTGTATATTTATATAATTATTTATGTAATTTTGTATATGGACGTATGTATATTTCTTATTATTTTTATTTATTTTTATATACATAGATATATATACAAATTCATTCTAAGTGTATTTTGATATAAATATATATATATTAATTTTAAAATACAGTTAGAATAAAATTTCATATAGCTATATAATTTTTTTAAAATTTTTTATTATTATTTTTAAAATTTTTTATTTAATTTAAATTACTTATTATTTATATTTTATAATAATATATATATACAATATATATAGTTATTATATATATTATATATATACGTGTGTAATTTAATTATAAGTGTATTTTTATATTAATATAAGTACATATTAATATAAAAATACACTTAGTATGGCATTATATATATGATATATAGACATATATTATATAGATATAATATGTCTATATATCATATTTATACATATATAATTATTATTATTTTTTTTATTACCATTAACTTTAATTTTTTTTCTGATTTTACACTAGCAGGGAGACTGCCTGTCAGTACAGGCAGTCCCCCTGCAGGCAGCACTATGGACACCTATTGTGACCATGTGATCGCTGTGTTAAGCGATCACATGGCCACAGGGGTCCTAATCTACCGTGGGGAGACTGTCTGGGCTGCAGGCAGTCTCCCCACAACCGGAGGAACACTGATCGCCGCCGGGGGAACGACGGCGATCAGGTAAGTAGCCCCAGACCGTTTGGACGGTTCAGGACCGTCATCGGTCCTCAAGGCAAAAATGCCGATGACGGTCCTGAACCGTCCTCGGTCCTTAAGGGGTTAACCAGTCCTTTTATGTAGATAATGGGATTGTTTTTAAAAAGTGGATGCTAATAGTTATGTTTTATATAATAGAGGAAACTACACACCTTGGCTAGACAATATCCCAGAGGGACAGTTTCAAAGGATAAGGAGGAACTGTACTGATAAAAGAGTTTTTACTGAACTAGCAAATGTTTGATTGAAAATTTCACAGAAATTGAAAGAAATACCCCAAAAATGTATTAGAAATAACTTTTAGGGAAGTGGAGGAAAATTATCAAAATGATTTAAAGGACCACTCTAGGCACCCAGACCACTTCAGTTTAATTAAGTGGTCTGGGTGCCAGGTCCCTCTAGGATTAACCCTTTTTTTTTTTTTTTATAAACATAGCAGTTTCAGAGAAACTGCTTTGTTTATAAATGGGTTAATCCAGCCTCTAAAGCCTCTAGTGCACGGGGTTCTCAACCCAGCCCTCAAGGACCCCCTATCAGTCCAGGATTTATGGATTACCTGGGTGTGTCTAAAGTGTTTAAGGTGTTTTTTTTTTCTAAACACCTTAGACACACCCAGGTAATCCCTAAATCCTGGACTGGTAGGGGGTCCTTGAGGACTGGGTTGAGAACCCCTGCTCTAGTGGCTGTCTCACTGTGCTGCGCATGCGCATTCAGCCGAAGAGGAGGATAGGAGAGGAGGAGGAGAGAACTTTTTTAAATGAGAAAAAAAACGTATTCATGTGGCACGTGTGTGGGCTGTAAATGCAGTATAAATAAAACCCTGAAAGATGTAGGTAAATTTAAAACTAAACATAAAGAAGGAGATTTTTTTTATTAATGGTTTTATCACCTGCTGTAGTAAAAACATTATTTACCTTTTAATATGTCCGTGCGGGCTACAGTATGTTGGCCGGCCTATACGCCCTCTCCATAATAGAAAATATGAGCACGTAAATAACATTAGAAAAGGCTTAGAACAACACTGTGTGTCAGCCCATTAAAGACCCAAAATGTTTAGTTTTTTTTTTTTTTTTTTTAGGAATCCAGATAGTATAAATATTGTTGGATAATCATATCCTCAAGGTAGTTAGGGAGAAAATTAAATGGGTACATAGGTTAGGGGCATTGGAACCAGAATTTTATCTGTATAATTTTTTATAAAATATAAAAAAAATGTAAATGTTGTACTTTTATCATTTTATTAGAGTTCTTTAATATTCTTTTATTAGTATCTAACCTTTTTTCTTCTGTCAGTAGGAAAGATGGGTATTCATTTTTCTGTATTATTTTAAGGTAATGTAAATATGTATATACCTTTAAATATGTTGAATAACTTGTTTTCCTTCTTTTTTGGATTTTGTATTTTATCCTATGCTATTTATATAATTAGACTCATTTGTCTTTAATATCGGTATGTAGTTTCTGATTTGTGTTCTAAGATTTTTATTATTTCAAAAGCAATGTTTAGGTGACATGTCAGTTGTATGGAATTGTGTTTCATATGTAAAAGTATTGATCCGATATACACTGATGGTTTTAAGTGTCATTCTATTATAAGAGACTCCCTAATATATTCAAAGATGGTGTTGAACAAGGCCCAATAATATAAGGATGTTTGTGAAAGCCCACCCCTTTGGGCGGACTTTAAATATGGACTGGTAGCTTTCAAGGAAGTCTGATGAAGCCGACTGGCGAAACACGTCATCAGGTACATACTTGTCACGCCACTAAATCACGTATATCGGATGAAGTTCCGCCTCCAGAAAGCACTTGGTAATAGTGTCGGACAGCCCGGGTAATCACAATAAGACGACGGGGAACCGATAGGACTGGGGACACTACACACTGAGAAGTGAACTGCTGGAGATACACTGTACCTGATTTTAAAGTTGTGAAATAAAACATTTCTTTTAAATCTGCTTCTATTTGTTTCCTGTTACATTGATCCTTAATAAGGATATTGATGTGCTCAATGTTTAGAGCAGGCTTCTCCAAACTCCAGCCCTCCAAATGTTGCTGAACTACAACTCCCATTATTATATGAATGAAATAGATAGGCTGAAAATCATGGGAGTTGTAGTTCAGCAACATCTGGAGGGCCGGAGTTTGGGGAAGCCTGGTTTAGAGCATGCTTATCTGTTCTCCATTTGTAAGTGGCACTCCTATATATATTAAAACCCAGAGTTTTAGAGAGAGTATTACGCTATTATGTATGTATATTTTCTCTTTTACTTTTTTGAGTAAGTTATAGAAATATTTGTCATCCACTCAAACCTAAAGGCTAAGTGCTTTCCTATTATATTCACTTTAAAAGAGAATTTGCACTAAAATTTGTTATTTTAAATATCACACATTGACACTTTTTAATAATGTGAGCACTTTAAAGGGACACTATGGTCACCAGAACAACTACAGCTTATTGAATTTGTTCTGGTGAGTAGAATCATTACCTTCAGCATTTTTGCTGTAAACACTGTCTTTTCAGAGAAAATGCAGTGTTTACATTACAGCCTAGTGATACCTTCACTGGCCACTCTTCAGATGTCTGTTAGAGATCCTTCCTGGGTCATGGCTGCCTAAAGTGCATCCAAACATTGAGTATCTCCTCCCTCTGCATGCAGACACTGAACTTTCCTCATTGATTCAATTCATCTCTATGAGGAGATGCTGATTGGCCAGGGCGGTGTTTGAATCTCTGCCCCTGACCTGCCTCTTTGTCAGTCTCAGCCAATCCTATGGAGAAGCATTGTGATTGGATCAGGCCACCACTTCTGATGATGTCAGCAGAATGCTTGTTTTTTATTTTTGAGGCAAACAGCATTCAGAGTTACAGCTTCTGGCTTGAATACAGTAAGATTTTACTATATTTAGGGAGGCATGAGGGGCCCAGGGGGGCTAGATGGTGGTGTTAACACTATAGGGTCAGGAATACATGTTTGTGTTCCTGACCCTATAGTGATCCTTTAACTACTGGTGCACGTTACTATACCGGTCTTAAAGACACAGTCCACCGTTATTCATTTTTTTTGTATTTTTGAGAATGTATATTTGCGAGCTATTGCACTTTAGAGGTGTTGTAAGATTATTTTAGGGCCCTTTTGACTTGTTTTGCTCTGTTTTTGGTGTGAGTGTGTTTGTTATTAAAATGTAATTTGGAACAATACCAATGTATCTTATCTACACAGACTTATTTCTAAACATGTTTATTGTAATGTAAACCTTAAAACCACTGACAAGTGGGGCATGGCTTTGCTGTAAAAGTGAATGGACGTTTTAGGGAGGAGGTCTGTGGCTACACCTGACTATCAGCTAACTAGTGCATAAACAACTCAGAGAAAGCTCTGCAAGCATATTAAAATGTCCCAAGGCCATAACAAAAAGAACGGCGACAAAACAGACTTCTTTACACCCAAACAATCAGCACTAAAACAGACAGTGAAGCTGCCATAAAAAGGCAAAGGAGAAGATGGAAAAGTTGGTGGAATGCGAGATAACAAAGAAAGACTTACCAGTCACATGTGCCTTCCTGCAGGGCCTACTCGACGATATGTCTCAAACTTACCAAGTCTTTACACTTTTCTATTAAGGATCTGTGCAAAGACATCGAGGTCCTAGGCGAAATTTGCAGAATATGCAGAAGCACACAACAGCGCAGCGGACAAAATACAACAAATTTGGGGGCGGGGGCAAGCCAGCAAGTCACATGAAAGCTGGGCTCACGCTTTACTTGCCAATTTCCCACAGATACGCGCCAAACTCGAGACAAAAAACAAACCCGGGGGATCTCCTAAGTCAAGGATGACCCGGTGACAAGCCTGATACCCGAAAATTTTGGAGATCGGGAGCCCAAGGTTGCTCAACGCGGCCTACAGGTGACAGAGCCTGGGAAAGGCGCCCGCTTTCCTAGTCCCTACATCGGAGGTGCAGACCCACCGACACACTGTTCTCCCCCCCACCCCCCTCCCCCCCCGATCGGTGGGGGTTATCCCGGTCCACTCCTGAGAGGCAACCCAGCTGCAAAGGGCCCAAAGATGGAGCTCTGCGAGCAGCGGGAAGAAGCAAAGTTTTGTAAAATGGCCACCGCCATGTGTGCTCACAATATAGAGAAGCTGGACAACCTATTCGCTAAGCTTTGGAGGAAAATAGCATCTCAGGAGCAGCAAGCTAAGGTACACAAACCTGATAAATGCATACCCAAGGTGTTGCCGGCACACTCCCTTAAGCAGACAGAGCCCGAAAATGGCCCAGAAGACAACAAGGCTGCAAATCCATGCAACTGACCCTGCCGATGACCTCCTCATCTTGGTATCCCTGCGACGTGATTTGGGGATCTGGACTGGTCGTCCAGCATCCCTGTAGATCCAGTACAGAGGTCCCACCTATTGGGGTCAGGGTTGCTGTCCCCCTGTAGCTGGGGAGAAGGACCGACTGCCCCCACTCCTGGTAGCTCGCTCTGCTGCTGGGGAGGAAGGACAACACCTTCCACTCCCTGTATGGCGCCCTGTTGCTGGGGAGTGAGACCGACTGTGTCCACCGCCGGTGGAATACACTTCCGCTGGGAAGAGACAGGTTGTCTATTCTCCCTGAAACTCACTCTGCCACTGGGGAGGAAGGACGACACCTTCTGCTCCCTGGGATGCACACTGCTGCTGGGGAGGGAGACCGATTGTCTCCACTCCCTGTAGGATACGCTGCCACTGGAGAGAGAGGCCGGTTGTCTCCACTCCCTGCAATCTACACTGCCGCTGGGGAGAGAGACCGTTTGTCACCTCTCCTTGAAACTCACTCGGCCGCTGGGGAGTGGGACCTACCGTCTCCCCTCCCTGTAACTCCGGCTGTAGCTGGGGATCTGCCACCCTGCTCTCTGGCTCTGCCTGTAGGGTATATTGTGACCAAGTTGAGCTGAGCAGGTGTTGGTAAGGTCAGGTCTGTGTCTAAGGCGCCAGCTCCAGGAAGATTCAGCCGAGCTTCCTGATACTCATATATGTCCCAAAAGCGTGACTCTCCAGTACACCCAAAGTCAGATTCGGCAAAGGCGCCCCATAAGAGGCCAGGGCCATTGTAATCCTCGCCCTCCGGCCTGACAAACCTATTCAACAAGGGATGACGCTGAGTCGCGTACCACCATAGTGCCTGGTACGCGTCATCAAGCCACAGTTCTGTCCGTGCCAGTAAATCAAGCTGCTTCACCAACTCCCACTTGGGCCGTTTTCCCAGCATAAGCATCTACATGGCCACTCGGGTCTGTAATCACTGCTCCTCGCTGGGGAGACGCTAACCTCACCAATGCTGTATATCCTCCAGGGCTTCATCCTAAAGCCCTTTTCTAGCGTCCTCTCGGTAGTCCAACATGGCCTCTTCTGATACAGACACATCCTGTAGGGTCAAGAGGTCCTGCAACCTCCAGTGAAACTCCTCCTCCACTTTGGCCGCTGTCCGTGGACCAGCTGGCTCCATAGCGCTGTAGATAGGGACGCTGCATGGTGCCTGGCTCTATCCCTCCCTATAAATCCGTAACAATTTCGGTGTCTCCAGGATGCTGTTCCTCTCACTAGGAAGCCATCCTACCGCTGACACCAATGTGACGAATCACCTGGCACCACAACTGGGCACCTCCTCCAACAGATGCTTCCTAGCATTAGAATCCAGGGGAGTATAAAGAGTATAGCAATCCCCAGTGTGAATAAAGAAGTTCCCCTCCAATCACGAGACAAGGCTACGTGTTGAAGGTTAAACAGGAACTCAATTATTTTTTTTTTTAAATCTGACAATTTTTATTGTTTTCTTCAAGATTGGTAGAGGGGGTAGGAGGGGGTACAAAAAAAAGAGGGGGGAGGGGGAAGGATAGGTGGTGGTGAAGATCAGTTCATGCAGTTTTCAGATATTTGACATTTGACATTTACATGCTTTGTATTCATCAGTGGTTCACATGTTACATACATTGATGGTCATTTTGAGGTGTGACCCATGGTTCTGCATTGTTTTTTGTTTTTGTTTTTTTTCTTCAGGTGTCGGGTTTAGAAGTGTGTGTGACTGGGGTTTGCATTGGGGTGATGTATTTCTCACTCTGTTGTGTCATTACGAGGTATGGGCAGTTTTGCCTTGGGAGACAAGGGGGAGGGGTGGGGGGTTGGGTGCGGCCAGGGGATAGAGGGTTGTGGATGCAGTGCAGGTTGGGTGTTGTGTTTGATGTGTCCTCATTTCGTGTGCTTTGTGCCTCCGGTCGGGGAGGTTCTGGTTTTCGTCTGTTGTGTTTGTTGTGTTTTATTTTTGCTTAGTGTCGCGTTGTCCCACATTTCCCATGCAGTGGGCCAGTAGGTGGCCATCGGTCTCGTTTTCCTCGCCATAATTTCATAGTGTTTAGTGGTTTCGATTGCCTTGATGCATTGTTCAATATGTGGGCTGGATGTCTGTTTCCATTGTCTGCTGATAACCACGAGGGCCGCAATTATGATGTGGTATAGTAGATACCTGTGGCTTTTCTGTGGGATGTTCGGGAGCAGGAGCAGTAAGAACGTTTCAGGCAATTTGGGTAGTTGTACGTTTGTACATTGGGTTGCCAGATCAGACACCTGTTGCCAGTATCGGGTTAGTTTCGGGCAATGCCACCAGATGTGTATCATGGTTCCTCGGGCCGTTTGGCATCTCCAGCAGGTATCTGAGCTGTCTGGGTAACTGTGTTTAAGCCGTGTAGGAACCAAATACCATCTGTAGAGTATCTTCCGAGACAGTTCCAGGTGGGTTGTGCAAAGTGTAAGTTGTTTGTGGGCTTTGAAGATGTCTTGCCACTGGTCAGTTGGGAGTGGGTGTCCGAAGTCTCTTTCCCATGCTGATTTGAAGGAGGGAGGCGACTTGGGCGTTGATCGTGTTCGGAGGCGTAGATCCTAGATATAAGTTTCGTGGCCGGTTTGAGTCTCGTACAGATGTTTGTCACCATTCTCCAGTGTTGGTTCTGGGGTTTTGCTGTTTGCTGTTTTGGTTGGAGGGCGAACCAGGAGCGCAGTTGCATGTAGAAGAAGGTGGCTGTGTTAGGTAAATTGAATTCTGTTTGAGAGTCTAAAAGTGTTTTAAGGGTTTGGTCGTTCATTAGCTGTGACATGGTGGTTATTCCGTGCCTATGCGAAAGTTTATAATTGAAATCGGGTATGAGCAGGCGAAGCGCCTCGAGCGGGAGCGCAGGTGAGAGTAGTGCTGTGTCGCCTATTTGTTTCCTGTACCTGTCCCATATCGAGAGAGTTAGTGCGGTGGTTGGCAGCAGCTCAGAGAGTTTTGGTCTGTGCGTTGTCGGCAGCCAGGCTAATAGTGGCAGGGAGAGGCCATGTGCATAGTTCTTTTCTAGGGTGGCCCACGCCATCAGGTCTTTTCGGTGGGATGTTGTGACTAGTGGAGTAATTTTAGCTGCACAGTAGTATCCCGCCACGTCAGGCATTCCCATCCCTCCTTGGGCAAATGATCGGTGCATTGTGGTTTTTGCTACTCTTGGTTTCGTGTTTTCCCATACATAGGCGTTGAGGAGGTTTTGTAGTTCCAGCAGGTACTTTGTGGGAAGCTTGAGTGGGTGTGTGCGGAATAAGTATTGTATTTTTGGTAGGAGCACCATTTTTATCGAGGCTATCCGGCCTGTCCATGAAATGTATTTTCCTTTCCACCCTTGTAGAATGGATTTGACTTCACCAAGCAGTTTGGCGTAATTCGCTTTGAAGAGCGTGTTTGGTGTGGGTGTAAAGTTTATCCCTAGGAACTTTATAAGGTCATGTCTCCAGCTGTAGTCAAAGTTAGCTTTTAGGGCCGTCAAGTCTTGGGTCGGGATGTTAATCCCCAGGGCAAGGGTCTTTGCAATATTTAATTTGTAGTATGAGCATTTGCTGTATTGGGATAGGGTCTTATGAAAGTTGGGTAGCGATATGTGTGGGTGTTCTAGGGATAGGAGGATGTCATCTGCGAACAGGGATAGCTTATATTCTCGGCCTTTGACTTGGATCCCATGGACGTTTGGGTCGTCTCGGTTTCGCTGTGTTAAGGGTTCTAAAGCTATTATATAGAGTAGTGGAGAGAGTGGGCAGCCTTGTCTAGAGCCGTTAGAGAGGGTGAACATTTTTTATATGAATCCCCCGTTTACTACTCTGGCTGTTGGTGTGGAGTATAGTGCCGTGATCAGTGCTATGAATTGGGGTGGGAATTTAAATTTTTTTAAGACTGCGAGTAGAAAAGGCCAGTGAAGTCTATCAAAGGCCTTCTCCGCATCCAGGAATAGGAGGATGCTGGGGACCTTTCTGTTTTGCATTCCGTACAGTAAGTCTAGGGTTTTTCGTGTGCCATCTGCGCCCTGTCTGCCTCCGACAAACCCCACCTGGTCCTCCCCGATAATTGTGGGCATGATGGGTGCTAATCTATTGGAAAATATCTTGGCGATAAGCTTGATGTCCGTATTAAGCAGGGATATGGGCCGCAGGTTTTGGCATCTATTCGGGACTTTCCCAGGTTTGGGGAGGGTGGCAACATGTGCCATCTACATTTCCGTCGGTATCGTCCCTGACTGGAGTATATGATCAAACAGGTTTTTTAGGTGTGGGGTGATGATGGGTGCAAATTGTTTGTAGTATGTGTTGGTTAGTCCGTCTGGGCCTGGTGATTTCCCTGGAGGGAGGGATCGGATTGTGTCTAGTATTTCTTGTGTGCTAATTGGGGTTTGGATGGCGCTTTGTTGTGTGGACGTTAGTGTGGGTAGTGCTATAGGTTGCAGAAAGTGGTCTATGTCCTGTGGGGAGGGTTGGTGGAGTGTCGGGTCTGCATTGAGGTTGTAGAGGGAGTGGTAATAGTCGGCCATGTTATCATTGATGTCTTGTAGTTTGTGGATCTTCTCCCCTGAGGGAGTGAGGAGATATGGTATTTTGGAGTTGGCCTGTTTTTGCCTAAGTAGCGTAGCTAGGTGTTTCCCTGCTTTGTTGCCTTGGGTGTATGTCTTCAGTTTGAGTTTTGTGAGTATGTGGGTTGTTTTTTCCAGAGTCAAGGTGTTAATTTTGGCGGTGATATTTTTTATGGTTTCGGCGCGTATGTCAGATGGGTCCAGGAGGTGTGCATTCGTCTCATCTCGTAATGTTCGTAGCAGATCCATGTGTTCTTTGGTGCGCTGTCGCTTTAGGAAGGATGCCCGGCTGATTAAGTGACCCCTTATGACCGCTTTGTGGGCCTGCCAGACGGAGGCAGTGGAGGCCCCGGATTCTGCGTTGTTGTGGAAGTAGTCTTGCAGGTGTTGCGTTAGCTTTGCTTTGAATGTTGTGTCATGTAGGAGTGTGTCGTTGAGGCGCCACGGGGGTCTACCTCTGTGTTGGTAGTGGTCGTGTAGGGTCAGAGTTACCGGTGCATGGTCTGACCATACTATGTTCCCTATGGTGCAGTCAACTATCTGCGGAAGTAAAGAGACGAGGATGTGGTCAATTCTGGAATGCATTTTGTGGACTTGGGAGAAGAAGGTGTAGAAGTGTATTTGGTCCTCCAGGCATCATACAGACTAAAGTCCTGTATGAGTTTCTGGAATGCTATATTGTGAGGTTTGAGCTTGAGGTGCCTAGCGGAGTTGCTGGGGGTTGTTGAGTCCACGCGGGAGTCCATGGTGTGGTTTAGGTAACCGCATATGATCATGGGGGTTGTTGGGCTGGTTGGTAATTTGGTGAGGACTTTGTGTAGAAAGTTTCGCTGTTGGTCATTCGGGCTGTATAGGCTTACTAGTGTAAAGGGGTTGTTGTTTATGATGCAGTGCAGAATCACGTACCTGCCTTGGCTGTCTTTTTTGACGTGGAGTATTTCCGCTGTCAGAGACTTGTGTAGTAGAATGGAGACCCCTCTGGATTTGGACGTGTGTGTTGCGTGGAATTGTGTGGGGTATTCCTGGGTGGCAAATGTGGGTATGCGGTTGGTGACGAAGTGCGTTTCTTGTATACAGGCTATGTCTGCTTTGGTGCGTTTCAGATCGTCTAGCAGTATACGTCTTTTGTGCGGCGTGTTAAGGCCTTTAGTATTATGTGAGTAGATAATCATTTTTGGGACGTTGCGTTATAATTTTTATTTTTCTCTCTTTTTTTTTTTCCTTTTGACAGATAAGTTGTCCCTGTTTTGTGGTGTATGTGTCGGTGTGTAGGGTTAGGGGGGGAGGGGTAGGGTGGGCTGGGTGGGAGTTAGGTGCTATATACAATGACCGTGGTCGGTCTGGTACTCTGGGCGTACCGTGGGGGTTAGGAGTACAACTTCCAATTGGGTGGCTTTATGGGCTCCAGTTTGGATTAGAGATAAGCATACAATCCCTAGCATACAATCAAGCCCAAAGCAGAGGAAGACGTAAAGTAGAGAGGGCTCTGGTTTATGAAAGGGGGCAAAATTGTAGATCCCTATCTGACGTGCAACTCCATCAATGCTTTGACAGTTGGGGCTCTACCACTTTCCCATGCATGCAGGGTTGTATTTAGCACTGGGCAGTGTTTGAATGTTAGCATGTTTTTGTATGGAGTATATTTGTGTGACTGTAGGGATGTGTTTGTATGTGGAGATAGCATTTAAATGCAAGCATGCTTTTATGTGTATTGTTGGTTTTTAAATGCAGGGGTGTGTTTATATATAATTTTGGTGTTTAACAAAGAGGTGTGTTTGTATGTAGTGTTGAAGTTTGAATGCAGGGGTGTATTTGTGTGTAGTGTTGGCATTTAAATGCTAAGATGTATGCACATATACACATACAATGCCACACACACTGTGATACACATACACACACACACTGAAACACATGTAGATACACAGATATACACAATGACACACAGTCAGCTATACAGACACATATGCACACACATAGAGATACACAACCTGACACACAGATGCACACACTGACACACATACATATACACTGACACAACACAGATACACACACACTGACACACATGCAGATACAATGACAACACAGATACACACACATACTGATACACATGCAGATATACTGACAACACAGATACACACACTGACAAAGATACAATGACAACATACAGATACACACACTGACACATACAGACACACAGATACATAACCTGACACACATGCAGATAGACAGATACATACACTGAAACACATGCAGATACACACATTGACTACATACAGATACATACATACTGACACACAGGTACACACGCACAAATATAAACATTGACACAGATACGTACACAGATATACACACTGACACACACACATACTGAAAACATATTGATACACATACTGAGACACATAGACATACTGACAAACACACACATACTGACACACACAGACATACTGACACACATAGACATCCTGACACACACAGACATACTGACATTCACACACACACAGACATACTGACACCGACAGACATACTGGCACGCACAGACATACTGACTGACACACACACAGACATCCTGGCACACACAAACACAGGCCCATTGGGTAAATAAATTAGTTACAATTTTAGCTTATTGAAGCAGTTTTGGTGTATAAATCATTTCCCTGCAGCGTCACTGCTCAATTATCTTCCATTTAGGCGTTAAATCACTTTGTTTATGCACCTTAAACACACCTCTCTGCATGTGACTTGCACAGCCTTCCTAAACACTTCCAGTAAAGAGTTAGCTAATGTTTATACTTCCTTCTTTGCAAATTCTATTTCATTTAAAATGTTTTATCCCCTGCACTGTTGATAGCTTGCTAGACCCCACAGAAGCCTCTTATGCATGATTAAAGTTCACTTTAGAGAGCAGGCAATAAGAACTTTTAAAGTAAGTTGCATCTAATTGAAAGTGAAACCATGTTTTTTTCATGCATGGTGTGTGAGTCACAGCCAGGGCAGGTGTGGCTATGGCTGCATGGACAAACAAAAGGAATTTAACTCCTAAATTGTAGAGAATTGAGCAGTGAGACTACAGGATCATGATCTATACATTAAAACTGCTTCATTAAGCTAAAGTTGTTTTGGTGACTATAGTGTCCCTTTAATCCCTTAAGGACCAAACTTCTGGAATAAAAGGGAATCATGACATGTCACACATGTCATGTGTCCTTAAGGGGTTAATATGAAAGAGGTGAATTATGGTTGAACAGACATATAGCACAAATTCTAGGTTTTGCTTTGATCAGAACATGTACCATTGCCTCCAACCTAAGGGAATAAATATGGTCATAGTATTACAGGATTTATCTGTGTTTTGGCAGGCAGAACACACTTAAAATTTTACATTTGTTGATTACAATTAGTCCAAACCTTTTTTAACAAACATATTTGGCTTAATACGAAGCCTAGAGTTTAATTTAAGATCTTAAAACAAAATCCTAAGAAGGGAAGGCTTAATGCTCTTGACATTAAAAAGAACGATATGAAGCAGGCACCTCTTCTGCATAATGAACAAAGTAAAAAAGAATGTTGGTTTCAAATCAAAAAAACAAGTAAGAGATAAAAAATATAGATCTAATGTCTGTCTTGGTATTGGAGGGAAAAAGAGGAGCTGACAAATAATCCTGAATTGGAAAACCCAAGCTTATTGAATTTCTGGAAAAAGTTTCGAACAGAAAATAAGATACCTTGTGGATTCATAAACCTCTAAATAGTGCAGGATTTAATGGAAAATATAGATCTGAGACAGTGTGCCACTGGATTTAAAACAATATCTGATATCTTCCAAAATTATGCTACATTTAGTTTATGTTTGAAATTCACCCTATGGGAAAAAAAGAAATATTTAATTATATATGGGTAAAATCTTGTTTGGTAAAAACAATAATGAAGGAGAAATTAAAGAAAAATTAAATGAATTATTTGGTCAAAACGAGATATATAACAAAATGCTTCCGCTGTATTAGGAATTACAAGGTTATTACTCTCCAAAAGTTTTAAAAAGATGGAAATAAAACTTAAACCAAAAATAGATTTAAACAAGGGCAAAAAGTACAAAGTGGGAAATAGAAAACCACTCTTTGTGTAAATTTCCAGGATATACATTTAAACTAACCAGTAGATGGTAACTGGTACCAAGTAGGATAGCCAAGATATACCCAAGGGAATCGAATAATTGCTGGAGATGTGGAAATATAAATGGAGAGTAGATGTTGTAGAGCTGTCTGCTAATAGCTTTCCTATGGAAAGATATTATAAGAACAATAAAAAATTTAACAGATATAGAATTAACTAATATACCAGAAGCCATATTATTACATCTAGAGTTTCCAAATAATATCAGAGAAAGGGCCATCTTTAACGCAGGGCAAACGGGGCAGAGAATAATCTGCGTAATCTGAATGTACCTTTCCTGGTTAAATACGTTGTTATTATTATTATTATTTTTTTTTAAATTCTTTATTTATTCATGCATGTAGGGTACAATTAGGACAGCAATGCCCCAACAGCTGTTGCTAGCTTTGCATTCAACAGTAGAAAACATTTGTTGGCATCAATTAACATAGCACATTTTTATGTTTTATAAGTACAATATGCAAGACACGGTAAGAGAAATCAGCCAGTGAGCCCCTTGTGGGTATGGTAAGAGTGTGAGTCAGTTTGGTGGTATCCACTACGGGCTCTTTCCTCCTTCCCCTCGACTATGTGTGTCGTGTATTAGAGTAGGTTGTTAGTGTTGGTTCCCGGGAAGGAGGGGGGGTATGGAGTGATGAGCGAGAGTGATTACTGGGTTATGCGGTAAGTTTGGCAGCCCTTACTAAGTGCTAATACTTCCTCTCTTCGTATATTTATAGTGCTCGCTATGAAACTACTTGGGTGATCGCATTCTAGGCTATTAGGCTGTGCAGATTAATTAGGGTTGCTCAATAAGCAGAGCGAAGGTAATAGAAAATAAAGGGAAAATAATAACATATAAGTATTAAAAGGAAAAGAAAACATTTTCCAACTGTGGTAGACATGGTGTATAGTGATGATGGTATACAAAGTCCCCTTGGGCGATCCAACCTCCGCTCCCTCAGGTGGGTGGTCGGTTAGGTGAGATTCGTTGTTTGCCTCTCGGGGTGAATTCCGGAATGGTAGCCGGGTTTAGTCTGGACAGTCCTGTTCCTGTCGGCGGTGAGGCTCGCCAGATGCCCGTTGATTGGAGGTGCGCTTCCAGCTCCTGGTATCCCTGTGCTCTGTGGGTAGTCCCGTTATGTGTTAATATAACAACTCGTGGTATCCCCCATTTATAGGGAATTTCTTTGGCACGTAGATGTTGCAGCAGGGGTTGTAGCGATTAACGCCATGTGAGAGTACTCCTGGTGAGGTCTGGGAAGACTGTGATGGAAGAGCCCTCGAATGGTGTCGGAGTTTTCCCTCGCAGTGCCGCCAGGAGTGAGGCTTTGTCTGAGAGGGTTTGAAATCTGAGGATGAGGTCGGCTCTAGCTGGCTTCGGCAACCGGAACATGCCATCTAGCCTCAGGGATTTCACCTGCTTTGGTGGGAGCAAGCCTCCGATAAAGCGCCGTATATAATGGGGTAGGTCGGCGATGTCGATCGAGTCCGGGATCCCCCTGACCTTTAGATTGTATCGCCGCCTTTGGTCCTCTATAGCGTCTAGCCTGTCTGCTGTGGTTAGTTGTTGCTGTGCCAGGTCTGCTACCTGCTGTTCCACCATGCTGTTTCTGGTATCGTGGTTGCTCGAGCAGGCCTCCAGTTGTGAGATTTTTGTTGTTGCCCCTTCAATGGCCTCTTTATAGCAGGCCATGTCAGTCGCTAGGTCTTTGCGGAGATCCGCCAGCATCATTTTAATTTGGTCTGCAGTGACCGGGTCCCCGGCTTTCTGCGGTGCCGTTTTGCGGTCTGGTGTGGGCTCAAAGGGTGTTCCGTCCAGGAGGTCTGAGGCAAACTCCTCCGAGGAGTAGGAGGTGAGGTCGTCGGCCAGCGCCATCTTGGACCACGCGGCCTGTTGCGAGTTCCGCAGCATGTCTCCGATATCTCTCCCTTGGGAGTTTCTGTCTGCTTTTACTTTTTTCGTTTTGCAGCCCATGGTGGGTCTGCCAGCTGTTGTGAGGTTTGTGGGGTCTTTGGGCCCCAGAATCCCTCATAAAAAGCCTCGTTGAGGGTAGTAAGAGCCGGAGCTCCGAGATGTGCGACCGCTCTGTTGCCTTGCTGACTCCGCCCCGTTATTATTATTATTTTATATATATATATATCAAGATCAATATCCAGCGCACTCACTCATCCACTAACTTCAAAGCGCACAGATTGTATAAGTTTTTTAAAAAAAACACCTAATCTTGGCAAAAATAATGGGGGTTTAGTTACACTATATCATCATAATTTGCATAAGCCTGCCAAAACATCAATGTACCCCATCTTTGGCAGGTTCAACTCTAACAACCTAATGTAGCAAACAAATATATCACCAAAGGATACAAATAGTGCAAAAAA